CCACAGAGCTGGTTCCAGGGCTCCAAGGGAACCAGAGTCGTCATGATTCCTAACTCTAAAGCACCAGAGGTGGTTTGGTCCAGGCAAACCACAGACTGCGCGATCAAAACCCTCCCTGCTTTCGCCAGGCTCCCACCCAGCCGATTTCCCGCCCCACTAGCTCGGCATTCAGGGGATTCAAGTACTTCACACCCTGCATCCACTTAGACTGAAAACCGCAATCGCACTGGATCTGTCCTCCTGTCCTGTGATCACTGTCTGTCGCCTGCGTGTCCCTTGAGAGCATCACAGTCCGTTTTGGCCACTGTGGTTACATCTGGGGCCTTTGCTTCTGACATCCTCCAAACCTACCCCCGGGCCCATTTTGTCCTTCCAACCCATGCTTCGTGCATCAACGCACCCAGGAAACCTTCCCTTGCCCCTTGGGGAGAACCCCTCTCCTCCTTGGGACTGCCGGCCACTGCCAGATCGTCATTGAGGGTTACTATGTGGCAGGCAGAGTGGGAGGTGACGTGGGTTGCACAGCGAAGGAGCCAGGCAGGGCACCTGCTCTCATGGAGTTTACATTTTAGTAAGGACAACAGGAAAAAAAAAGGTAAATAATCCACCAAGTCAAATATTTACAAGCTGTCATAAGTACATATGCAAAGGCCTCCAAGCAAATTCTAAAGCATACCCCAGATCTGCCCATGTCTGTCCATCTCCCACCCTGTCTGGGTTGAGCTTGTTTGTCTCGGATGTCAGAAAGGTTTGGGTGGCTAAAGGCTGATGGTAAACGAGAGCAGAGGACACAGAACAGCGGTGCAGAGGGAGGTGAAACCGGATTGTACAGGGCCTAAAGGGCCCATCCAGCAGCTCTCACGCTCAGAGCACGGCGGGTGCTACATGGCCGCATTATAACCAGGAGATAACATGACCTCACATGCTTCGCGACAGAGATTTGAGTTGGCAGGGGTGCAGTTTTGCTTCCCTTTCCCAAGGGACCTTTGACAATGTCTGGGGAGGAGGGTACTGGGAGAGGCCAGAGATGCTGGGAAACATTCAACAATGCCCAGAACAGCGCCCCCCAGAGGCAGCGAGTAGCAATGCTGAGGTTCACTCTGCCTGTTCCACGCCAGGATACACTGGGTTGCAGGAGTGGAATACGGAGGCCACCTGGGAAACCATTTAAATGAACTCCATACAGTTATCATATTGGCCCACCTGAGCCTCTCTTCCAGTATCCCAAATCCTACATTTCCTGGCCTGGGGAACCAGCCCAACTCATCTTCCAACAAGCATCATTGCATTGGAGACAACGCAACAGCCCAAAGAAACAGCCAGCCTGGCAGAGCTGGGTGCGGGGGGGGGGGGGGGGGGGGGGGGGGGCACCTGCTCCGGCGGGGGAGGGGGCTCGAGGGGTTCCAGAGCCCAGCTCCAAGTGTGCCCTCTTCCCCCGTAGTCACATCAGCCCCTCTCATGCCAGCTGCTGCCAGCTTGGTGCTCTCCTCCTCCCTGAGCTCCTGAACGCTGGGCCTGTACAGGCTGCACAGGCTCTGGGCACCAAAGGCAGGCGACACCCTGCACTTACAGCAAGTTTATGGGTACTTACCAGCATGTATACCTATCATTTCCAGCCCCGGCATGTAAATCAACCTAGAGGGAAAGGGCTCTCCTCTTGCCCTCCCCCAACTTGAGGTTGATTCCAGATTTGGGAGAAGCCTGGTCGAGCTGTGGCGGCAGTGGGAGGTCTGTGGATGAGGCAGTGTCTCCGAGGAGGAGGGGAAGGAGCCCCCTTAGGAGCAGGACCGGCCAGGCAGGTGGCAAAGAGGGGAGAGTCCAGCCTCGGAGCCCAGTTAGGACTCAGTCTCCTTCCACTGCTACTGAGGCTTTTGACCTTTAGGGTGGGAGTGTGAATGCTAGGGAAACTTTGAAGAATACTATAGAACACCTCTGCCCGGAAACATGAAGACTGAGGACAAAGGTCTGCCTACAACTTGGGAGATTCTCAGGTCCCCTCAAGGCAGCCTTTGACCTGGCAGTTAAAGACACCTGTTAGGGATGCCCAGGTCTCCCTTTGGAGTATCTGAGTCCTAGCTCCCAACCCAGCTTCCTGCCAGTGCAGACCATGGAAGACAGCAGCGGCAACCAAAATGACTGCCACGCACATGGGAGACCCGGATTGCACTCCTACCTCCCAGCACCAGTCCGCAGCCCCAGCTGTTGCAGGCATTTGGGAGTAAATTGGTAGATTGGAGCTAGCACCTCCCCCACTCTGTGTGTGTGTGCGTGTGTGTGTGTGTGCCTTTCAAATAATAATTTTAAAACATTTTAGGGGCCAATGCTGTGGCACAGCGGGTTAATCTGCCGTCTGCAGTGCCAGCATCCCATATGGGCACCAGTTCAAGTCTCGGCTGTTCCACTTCTGGTCTAGCTCCCCTGTCAATGTGCCTGGGAAAGCAGCAGAGGATAGCCCAAGTACTTGGGCTCCATCCACTTGGGAGACCTGGAAGAAGCTCCTGGCTTCGGCCTGGCCCAGCCCTAGCTGTTGTGGTCATTCAGGGAGTGAACCACTGGATGGAAGACCTCGTTCACTCTCTCTCTCTCTGTAATTTTGACTTATAAATAAATCAATCTTTTTTTAAAAAAAAATGTAACGCCTACACCAACAAATGCCTAACAAGTTTCAGTGTATTTCTATTACAAAGGGGAGAGGAGACCTTAAAGCACAGGACTGGGCACTCTTCCTAGGGGAGCTGTGTTGAGACACATTCTAAAGGGCATGGGGAGTGGAGGATGGCCCAAGTCCTTGGGCCCTGCACCCACATGGGAGACCAGGATAAGTACCTGACTCCTGCCATCGGATCAGCGCAATGCACCAGCCACAGCGCGCCGGCCGCGGCGGCCATTGGAGGGTGAACCAACGGCAAAAGGAAGACCTTTCTCTCTGTCTCTCACTGTCCACTCTGCCTGTCAATAAATAAATAAAGGGCATAGGGAAGCGTCTCCTGACTTCTGACTTCCCCATCTGCTGTACCTGCGTATGAAACTGCGCTAGGAGGTGGGGAAGTGACAGAGGGAGGAAGGGCAACAGGGGCTGTTTTCAGGCTAATTTGGAATCTGAGGCTGCCTAACACTCAACCCAATGGAGGTTGCTCAGAACATGGAAACCAGATATTCCTGGTCAGCCCAGAGCATCTGATCTTGTTAATGAGCCAATAAAAATTAGAGGGACAAAGGCCAAGCCCCGGCTACCCAAATGAAATCTCTTCTGTGAAAGGGAGCAACCTCATAAAGAGTTGTAACTGAGCAAATGGAGGGATCATTGCATTTCATTAACTTTAACAGGGCTCGTTAGGTTGGCTTCCAAGGGCTGCGGGACAGGAGCGAGAACGCCAGGGCTGGGAGCGAGCCGGGCCGCTCGGACGTCCCCTGCGTCTCCCAGCCAAACTGGAAGCCGTCGCTCCTGCTTGCCCCTCGGGCTCCCCGGCCTAGCACGACATCCTGACTACACAGGCAAGGAGCCCAGGCCTCAAGGACTAATTCTTTCCTGCCGGAGTGGGGAAAGACAGGGACAAAGAGCACAGGGCAAAACATCCCCAGGGCTGAGCAGGCCACCTGGCTGCAGGCCCCCACACAGAGGTCCCTCCCAGCTCCAGTGTCCAGGAGCCCCCACAAAAGGATTCCCCCAGCCTAGAGCCTGGCCAGGGGACCATTGTCAACGCTGGCCACACCTCTGCCCTCCTCCTCTACCCAGACATGTCCAATGCCAGAAAAACAGCAAACAAACAAACAAGGCCAGCAGAAAACACATCACCAAACAAGCCCTCCTCACATTGTCCGCTGTGGTTGGCCAGGGCCGGGAGCCAGAGGCCGCCGGCTGGAAAAGCCCCAACAGCTCCCAGGGCTCAGCCCCTGAGCTGAGCCCACTGCCAGCGCAGGAGCTGCCTTGCCCCCTCTCCCTCTCCTCCTCTACTCTCTCCCTTTGCCTCACTTGTGCTCTCTCTATCACTTCTTTCTCCTGTCCCCTTCCCTCTCTTTTCTCTTCCTGTGTCTACAACAAAATAAACTTACTATAAACCATAGCATCGAAGAACTCCCGGGTGTACACAAAGCCATACCATGATGGCGAGCTGGCCGTGCTGCCACGTTGCTTTAAAGTTGTTGGAGTTCCTAAGCCTATGCACCTGATGGAAAACAGGCCCCATCCCACCTGTCGGCTCTTCCTCCCCACTGCCTTCAATGCTTGTTTCTGATTGAGCCACATTATTAATTCCCTGAAGGGGCTGGCACTGTGGCGCAGCGGGTTAATGCCCTGGCCTGAAGCGCCGGCATCCCATATGGGCGCCGGTTCTAGTCCCAGCTGCTCCTCTTCAGATCCTGCTCTCTGCTATGGCCTGGGAAAGCAGTAGAAGATAGCCCAAGTCCTTGGGCCCCTGCACCCATGTGGGAGACCTGGAAGAAGCTCCTGGCTTTGGATCGGTGCAGCTCCGTCCATTGCAGCCATCTAGGGAGTGAACCAGTGGATGGAAGACCTCTCTCTCTCTCTCTGCCTCTCCTCTCTCTGTGTAACTCTGACTTTCAAATAAATAAATAAATATTTAAAAAAAATTCCCTGAAGACCTCCCCCTTCCAGGGCCCTGCACACCCACTTGCCTCACCTGGAAAGCTCTGGTCACCCTACTGAGAAGTCTGTGTACTCTCAGAGGTAAGCTTTAGGCAGCCTTCTCCTCCACCGAGCCCAGGTTTCCAGCTGCAATTCATTTGTCTCCTCTATGCCCTCACTGGAATTTTATGTTGGCACCTCTGCCTTATATTCTAATTAGTCTGATGCAAAGCCCTCTCCTGCCAAGTTGTAAACCTGAACGGAGAAACGATGGCATCGTTGAATCTCCACATTCTTTAAGTCCCTGGCACAAAGTGCACAATAAATGTCAAACATTAAAACCTGAATTCTATCCATCTTAATGCCACAGCTTAACGTCGCGCATGGGGGTGTATCTCATTTATAAAAATTTTACTTGCGAATTTGTTTGAGGCCCTGGGTTCCTGGGGCAGGCTCTGGAAGAGGTCTGATTTCAGGACTTCTCAGGGGCTGGAGGATGGGATGTTAGATGGCGGCACCTACTGGTAAAGGGTGGCATTACAGTCACTACAGTCGGTCTACCCAGAGAAGCCACAGAATTTCTCAATCAATCCCAGCAACACTGGACCAGGAGGCAGAGGGTGAGGACAGATGAACACTGGAACAAGTTCCTCTCCCTCCTCAGTAGCCCTTGGGCTAATGGAAGGGTGACATCAGGCCACTGAGTCAGGGTCAGGGCCCCTTTGCCGGCCTTTGAGGCCATTTGGGGAGTGAATCAGCGGATGGACGACTTTTCTGTCTCTCCCTCTCACTGTCTGTGCGTCTACCTCTCAAATAAATAAATAAAATCTTTTTAAAAAATTCCCCCCCTACACACTTGGAATTGGGCCTGTGGGAGCTGCCTCCCCCGGAATTCAGGTAGGAGGTGCCTGTGGCGCCCTCTCCACCTGCTTCAGCCCCCAGGCTTCTTCTTGCCCAGCCTCTGCCTCTGGCTACTTTGTCCAGGCTGCCATTATCCATATCTCCAGACCTGTAAGGGAGCTCCTGAAGTCCGGCTTGGAAGGTCCCAGCTCTGCGTCTCTGTCCTCCAGAAGCCGAGAGCCTTTAGCCAGAATCCCCTCCTGAGTCCTCTGCTTCTCCATGGTCTCTCTCTCTTCAGCTCGAGACTTCCACACGGCCCCTGGCTTCCACGTGGCCCTTCCGTTCAACACCCTCTGCTGCCTCTCATCCTTTAGGCAACAGCAGCACCATCGGCCTGGGCGGAAGCGAGGTCGCAGGGCCTGGAAATGCCCCACCCTCCTCGGGGTTCCCACGAGCTCACCGCTCCTTGAGGCTTGCAGGCATCTCATCCAACAAGCATGCACTGAGCTCAGCTGTATCCGAGGCTTGTGCTGGGGGCTGGGGATCCAGGTGGACTGTGCCTTCCGAGGTTTGACAAAGGCAGCCGCTCGGCCTGGTGGCTGAGACCCCAGTTTACCTGCCTGCGTCCCACAGTGCCTGGACGTGAGTCCCAGCTCTGGCTCCCAATTCCAGCTTCCTGCAAATGCACACCCTGGGAGGCAGCAAATGGGTCCCTGCCGTCTATGTGGGAGGCCTGCATTGAGTTCCTAGCTCCTGGTTCTGGACCTGACCCAGGCCCGGCTGTTGCAGGCATTTGGGGAGTGAACCATAGTGTGGAAGATCTCTCTCTCTGATAGATAAAGGATGACAAGTGGAAGGCAACCTAGACCATTACAATATTGCAATACACAATACCCAGGGGCACCATTTGGGGGTAGGTTTCAAGGACCATGGAGCTTTCCATCCACCAGGGAGTAAAAAAGGCTCCTCAGACACAGCAGCATTCAAGTTGGGTTGTAAAGTGTACACGGAGTGTGTCAGGCATGACGGGGCTCAAGTGCAGTATTGGTGAGATGGGAAGAGAAACACGAAACATCGGTGGGGAGGGAGGCTGGGCACTGGCACAGAGGCCACGTACACCGGGCTGGGGAGTTAGCCCCTAGTCCACAGGAGGCACAGCCAGCACCTGGTGCTGTGGCTGCAGCAGTGGGGATGCAGGGGAGGGGTGGATTTGAGGGAGGTTTCAGAAGTTCCACCCTCAGGCTCTGGTGGCCTACAGGGCTCGGGACTTCAGCTGGGACCACTGAGTGGTTTACGGGGCCACTCAAGGTGGAGACTATGTTCAAGTGCTTGGGCTCCTGCCACCCATGTGGGAGACCAGGATGGAGCTCCTGGCTCCTGGCTACAGCACGGCCCAGCCCTGGCTGTTGCAGGCATTTGGGGACTGAACCAGTAGATGGAAGATCTCTCTGTCTCTGTTGCTCTGCCTTTCAAGTAGATGAAAATAAATAACCCATTTTTTTTTTCAAAAGACGGAGCTTATAGGAAGAGGACAGGTGTGTGTGTGGAAGGCAAGTGTTGAGAAGGACACACTGGGTTCTATTAGAAGGTTTAACTTAAGGTCTTGAGAAATACCATTGAAAGCATCTGAACATAAGCGGAACTGGATAAAGACAGGAGGGAGAGCTACAGATCTGCACACCAGACACACAGAGTTAGAGCTGGAAGAGAGATGGGGCCAGGGATGTAGATTTGGGAGTCATCGGCATACTGGCGCTCACACCACACACTACCTCAAGTCCTCGTGCACGACACTCCAAATGCCTGCACGGTCAGAATTTCCTCTCTATTTTCTAGATGAGGAAAGCAAAGCTCGGACAGGCGGAAAACTTGCCCCAGCTCACCCACCGATGGGGCTGGAATTTAACCTCAGGATGGTCTGGCCATAAAGCCAGGTAATCTCTCCACCTCCCTTGTGGTGCCCTGGTGAGAGGCCGCACAGTAGAGAAGTATGGGCAGCTCAGGTGGTAACCCAGATGCTTCAGTAGCTACAGGGCCAGTGGAGTGAGAGCAGGAGAAGAAAGGGCTCCAAGAAGGGGCAGGAAAGGTCAGGCTGGGTACAGCCTGGCAGGCAGCCCTGGAGGTGGGGATGTGCAGGTCGCCGGGGACCATGAGACTGGGCGTCAGAGGGGGCTTGGTAAGGGGTGGAGGGAAGCCCCAACGTGAAGACAGATAGCAGGTGGGGCTCCTGCGAGAAGTCTGGGAGCCTGGAAGGACAAGAAGGGGCAGGGTCTGGAAGAGCTGGTTGATGCCGCTGCTTAGGCTGTATTTCCAGGGGCAGGGAGGCCCAGGAGCCCAAGTGAGAGCTTCTGGCTAGGGAGAGGGAGCTCCCTGTGGGGGCAGGCGGGGATGGAATCCGTGTACAGGTACCATACTGACCCTGGCCAGAACAGGGGCCCCTTCTCTCAGCAGCGGAGGGGGAAGGAGGAAGAGCACTGGAAGTCCATGCCAGATGACTTCTCAGCAGAGCAGGGGCTGAGGGCACTGACTGACGGGGCTTGGGATGCGGGCGGGACAGAGCGCAGGTTCTGGCAGACTGGAGACTTGCCTTGCGACGTGCAGGGGGCTGCAACCACACATCGGTGTTGATGCCAGCTGGCAGGCCGGAGATCTTTGTTCTCTTCGTGGAAGCCGCTGGGGAGCAGGTAGAGAGGAAGCAGGTGTGAAGGTGATTCAGGTGTGGGGTGGGCAGGGAGGAGACTGGGGTCAGGGGCTCAGGAGGTGACCAAAGGAGACAGAGGAGAGGCTGGCACAGGAGTGGGCAGCGTGGGCCTGGCCGCCTCCTCCCCATGTCCTGCAGGACCTCTCTGGGAATGCAAGGCTAGGGCCCCAAAGCAGGTCACTCACAGGACACGGGGCTGGAGCACTTTGAGAGGGCCTTGTTTCCAGTGCTCTGCCTCTGAGCCATCCTGAGGGAGCGTGAAACAAGCACCCACCAGGGCCACCCTGCTCACCGCCTCCCTCTCTCCCTCTTTTCATCTGTGGTTGATGTTGTTGGATCCCCTTGTCTCTCCATTGGCCAGTCATTAGTTCTACTACTGTTCCCATCTCATCTGTTTATTTCTGTCTACGCTCAAATCCCACCTTCTCCATGAAGCCTTCTTGGCCGATGAGCTTCCTGTCCACACAATGATGATCTGAACCCTCTAGTGAGGACCACATGTTTTTTTATTTGTTAAGATTTATTTATTTAGGCCGGCGCCGCGGCTCACTAGGCTAATCCTCCGCCTTGCGGCGCCGGCACACCGGGTTCTAGTCCCGGTCGGGGCGCCGGATTCTGTCCTGGTTGCCCCTCTTCCAGGCCAGCTCTCTGCTGTGGCCAGGGAGTGCAGTGGAGGATGGCCCAGGTGCTTGGGCCCTGCACCCCATGGGAGACCAGGAAAAGCACCTGGCTCCTGGCTCCTGGCTCCTGCCATCGGATCAGCACGGTGCGCCGGCCGCAGCGTGCCGGCCGCGGCGGCCATTGGAGGGTGAACCAACGGCAAAGGAAGACCTTTCTCTCTGTCTCTCTCTCTCACTGTCCACTCTGCCTGTCAAAAAAAAAAAAAAAAGATTTATTTATTTATTTATTTATTTATTTAGAAAGTCAGAGTTATAGAGGGGGGAGAGACAGAGCAAGAGAGAGAGAGAGAGATCTTCCAACCATTGGTTCACTCTCCAGATGGCTGCATTAGCCAGGGCTGGGCCAGGACGCCAAGAGCTAGGAGCCAAAATCTTTGTCCGGGTCTCCCACATGGGTGCAGGGGCCCAAACACTTGGGCCCTCTTCCACTGCTTCTCCCAGGTCATTATCAGGGAGCTGGATGAGCAGTGGAGCAGCTGGGACATGAATCGGCTCCCATATGGGATGCCAGTATCACAGGCAGTAGCCTTATCTGCTATACCACAAAGCCTGCCCTAGGAACTATGTCTATTTCTTTGGTTCCCCCTAGGGTGCATAGGATGGGGGTGGTAGGAGAGAATTACCATATGCCAGTCGATGAAAGGATTGATGACTGTTGAAATCATGAGGAAGACAAAGGTAGAACTGGAAGGAGGTACTGGCAGCTCTGAAAGTATAGGCTGTGGGGCATTGAGCTGGAGTCAGAAGGCAGGAGAAACATGGATTCCAAATTTGCCTGTTGAATATGTGGTGTGACTTGGGCAGGTCATGTGACCTTTCATCACTACACCAGGGGACTGGCTGGTCTTCAGTAGCTCTACAGCTGCGTGAGCCTCCCCAGCAAAGGTACCGACCAGCACCTTGTAACACGCAGAGGCTGGTCTGGGACCCTCCTGCTTCTCTAAATGGTTAGGCTGGGAGAGTGACAGCAGCGGGTTCAGAAAGCAGAGCGGGTATACAAGCCTCGGAGGCAGGCCCGGGCCCGAGTTCTGCTTTCTCCTTTCTTAGTCTGTCTTCTTGGGCAAATTAGTCTCCTCCAGGGTCAGTTTTCCCATCGGTAAAATGAGAATAACAATTCCTGTCTCATGGGTTTGTGGTGGAGTGCCTGGCACACAGAAAGCACCTGGTATACACGGTAGCAGCGAGCTTTGTGTCTCAGAGTATCTGTGCCTTCTTAAGGCGGAGTGCAAGGTGCAAATAAGTAGAAAAGAGAATACAGAGCTAGCTACCTGGCAGGTGAATTTCCTCCTAACTCTCCATAACCGTGGAAGTGTTGCTGACAAGGGCAGTGTGCTGGTATGCATGGAATTCTTGGAACCTTCTCAGCAGGAATGTGTGACAGCCAGGAACCTGTTGGGGGGTGGTGGTAAGGGAGCACAGTTGGCTGCGCTGGCACTATGCAGCACCAAAGCCCGGCCAGGTTGGAGCTGCTATGCTTTGACTATTCCACACCTGTAGCCTTTTGCCTGCTTCCTTTTACTGAATGCCTACTATGTGGGGGGTGTTTTCCATATATTATCTCCTAACCCTACTAGGTTTTTAGCCCCTGAGGCAGATAAGAAAATGAAGCTAAGATTGAGTAACTTGCCAGAAGTCACACAGGTAGGGGCCACCTGTGATTCCAGGGCCGGTTCATGTCCTGGCTGCTCCATTGCCGATTCAGCTCCCTGCCAATGGCCTGGGAAAACCAGCAGAAGATGGCCTAAGTGCTTGGGCCACTGCCATTTACCTGGAAGATCCAGATGAAGCTCCTGACTCCTGACTTTGGCCTGGCCCAGCCATGGCCCTTGTGACCACCTGGAGAGTGAACCAGAGGATGGAAGACCTCTTTCCCTTTGTCTCTCCATCTCTGTAACTCTGTTCAAGTAAATAAATAATCTTTAAAAAGAAGAGGAGGAAGAAAAAGAGAAAGCAGCCACACAGGTAGAACGGAACCAAGCATTTTAACTCTAGAGCTCATGTATACTGACGTGTACCTTACCTTTGAGGTTTTTATAACCATACCCATTTTCCAGATGAGGAAGCTAAACTTCAGAAAGTAAAATAAATCACCAAGAACAGGAAGTTGGCCAGGAAAGAGGAAGGCCGACCCTGACCTGGGGCAGTCTGGTTCCACGTCATTCCTCTCTCTTTCAGAGGTAGGGTCACTGCACTTAACATATGGGGCAGCAAAGCTTCATGGGAGGAGCATGGGCAGGGCAGGGGATCCTGCCCTGAATGTGGTGGAGCCCAGGCAGGGCATCCTTAAGCAGGATCTGAACCGAGATACATCAGCTATGCAAACTCTAGCCCCGGACAGATCTCCCAGACATACCTGCAGAGAAATTTCTATTAAAAAAAAAAAATTCTATCCACTTGAAAGGCAGAGCGACAGAGAGCCAAAGAGAGAGAGACAGAGAGAGAGAGAGAGAGATCTTCCATCACTGGTTCACCCTCCAAATGCCCACAAAAGCCAGGGCCAGGCCAGGCTGAAACCAAGGAGCCCAGAACTCCATCTGTGTCTCCCACATGGGTGGCAAAGGCCCAAGCACTTGAGCCATCAACTACTTCAGTATCCACACATTAGCAGGAAGGTGGACCAGGAGTGGAAGTACCAGGACTTGAACTGGCACTGTGATACAGGGTGGGGGTGTCCCAAGTGGGGGCCCATCTCCCTGTGCCACAGTTAGAATGAATGACTGTCACAGCATCCCTGGGGCAGAAGGTGAAGCCCCGTGGCAACTTATGGCCTCAGAGGTGAATGCAGGAGCCCAGAGAGCAGGTGCCATTCCTCCCCCGCTGCGGCTCTTGCAGCACTGCTTGTGAGGCCCAGCACATTAGTCCTTGCTTGTCATCCTCCCAAGTGACTACACCACTGTGAGTCCTACAGAAGTGGACAGGGCAGTGGGCCCACTTGACAGTGCCCTCTTGATATAAGCCCTGCTTCTACTCCTACAGACTCCTCTAGAGATCTGGCGGTGGGCTGACAGCAGACTGGGGCAGGGGCAGGGAGCATGCATGCAGGAGGAGCTCACCTGGTCCTATAGGAGCAAAGGAAGCCATCAGAGGGAAACCAGGAGGATGAAGAAAAAGGAAACCAAGTTTAAAGATGCTCAGTTGGGCCGGCGCCGCGGCTCAACAGACTAATCCTCCGCCTAGCGGCACCGGCACACCGGATTCTAGTCCTGGTCAGGGCGCCGGACTCTGTGCCGGTTGCCCCTCTCCCAGGCCAGCTCTCTGCTATGGCCCGGGAGTGCAGTGGAGGATGGCCCAAGTGCTTGGGTCCCTGCACCCCATGGGAGACCAGGAGAAGCACCTGGCTCCTGCCTTTGGATCAGCGCGGTGTGCCAGCCGCGGCGGCCATTGGAGGGTGAACCAACGGCAAAGAAAGACCTTTCTTTCTGTCTTTCTCTCTCTCTCTGTCCACTTTGCCTGTCAAAAAAAAAAAATGCTCAGTTGTCTTCCAGGCAGTCTGCCCAAAAGCCAGGGCGATGGCCACACTCAGAGGACCAGGAAATCATGCCCCCCCAGAGGGCAGGTCTCAGAAAACCCCAAGCCTGCCCCTACAGAATCCCACCTGCCACCCCAGCTGTGAGTTAGAGGATGAGCTGAAGTCCCTCTCCTCGCATCCACAGCGGCCCAGAGTCCACATCAGTGTCCCAAGAAGGCAGAAGCAAAGCAAAGCAAGGAAGAGCACAGTGTCCCCTCCCTCCTTGGGTAGGTGACCGGGGGAGACTTCTCAGCTCTTGCCCTGTGTCCCCCTGTAGATCACAGGCACCGTCTGGCAACCTCCAACTCTTTCTTCCTCTTCTTTTTTTCTTAAACCCACTCTCTTGTCTGGGGAAAGAGGATGGCAAGTTTGCACTTGTTCTCCAACTCAGCGTAATTGGTGGCAGCAGGCAAAGCTGCTCCAAGGGGAGGGGTTTGCCAGTGGAATGAAGCAGGGAGGGAGTCTTAGAATGACAGGGCTGGAAGAGACCTCAGGGATCACCTGGCCCACCTCCCTGGCCTCCACACCCCCACCATCTTTGTGCTGCCCCCACAGCCACCTCCCACACCCTGCATGCCTCCCACGGCCTCCTCCCCAGCCTGCCTAAGGTGCTGCCCCCTTCCCACCCCTGAGTGCATCCATCTTTTTGTTTGCTAAACGAGGGACCTGAGGCCCACTGAGATGTGACTTGCCCCAAGTTAATCTCCCTCCCAGAATGGAACCAGGACAAGAAACCCAAGACCTGAATCAGTCTTCATTCTCCACTCTTCCACTCAGTCCCTGGGGGAGATGGGGGTGGTGGTAATGCAGCGGCAGGGAAGGCCCATCCCCCACCCCAGCTGATGTGGACTGCCAGTGTCAAGGGTCTGAAAACTGAGTCCTTTTCAAGGAGGTCCTGGTCGTTGCCCCTTCCTCTTGGGTGCCCTGAGGGCCTTGTGAGGCTAGCCTGGGTCCTTAAGGTGTCTTCCGTGCAGAAAACTGGCTCTGAGGCAGGACTGGCTGCCCGCCTGGCCTTTGGTCTCAGTCTGACTGCAGCCCCTACTCCAGGAAAGCCCTTACTTACCCCTCGTGGGGACTTCCTTCTTTCCCTACACTGGGAGGCCAGCGCATTCATGGGTGGGGGATGCTGCGCTGTGGGCACCACCTCCTGAAGCTGGGAGGGCAGGTCTGGAGGAGTGTGCCTGCATGCCTTTGTAACTGCACACACAGGCATGGTCCTGTGGGTCAGCTTTTGCCCTGTGCTGAACACGAGAATGCCTGTATGCTAGCCCACGGCTACAAGGGTAGGGTAGCCCAGTGGGCTTACCTCCAAGGTCTTTACGAGGAATCTGCCCCGGGACTGGCAGTTACAGTAGGGAGAAGGCTACTTTCTTAGTTTTCAAAGTAAACTCAGACTTAGGAACGGGGATTGAGTGCAGAAAGTGGGGGCAAAGTACGGGTAGGAGTCGGGAGGCCGTTACTCCGCCGCTATAGACGTTTCGAGGTCCCCGAGTTTTCTCAGCGTCTCGCGTGTCGGGCTGTGCCGGTGGACCCGCCCGAACGCCAGTACGTCCACGCCTGCCCAGTCGCCCAGACCTCGCACCCTCTTTGTCTTCCCGACTGAGGTGTGCGTGCGAACCTGCGCTGCTTGGCCCTCGTCGCGTGCGAGCGCGGGGGTGCGCCCTGGCTCCCACACTCTTTCGGCGGGGAGGCAGAACGAGCCGGAGCCCGGTGCTGTTTGGTCTGGAGCCGAGCGGGGCTTGCATTGATCCATTGATTGTGCGCGGTCTGCGCCTGACCTCCCTGCTCCCGGGGAAGCCGTCTCCATGGAGACCGGGCCCGCTCCCCCAGCGCCGGATTGTAAATTCCTGCAGGCAGCGGCCCGGCAGCCTGGGGAGGGGGCCGCCGCGCCGGGGCGCGCAGGGGGAGCGGCCGCCGCGCCGAGGCCCCATTTGAAAGAAAAAAGGGCACGAAAAAGGAGGTGGTGGCGGAGCAGGAGGAGGAGGAGGAGGGGAGGAGGAAGAAAACGAAAAGGAGCGAGGAGAGGAGGAGAAGGAGGAGGAGGAGGAGGAGGAGGAGGAGGAGGAGGAGGAGGAGGAGGAGGAGGAGAAAGGCGAAGAAAAAGAGACGGAGCCTGAGAGACGGAGAAAGGGCGAGAGAGGAAGAAAGAGGCTGAAAGGGCGTGTTTCTGGAGCTGCCTTTCCCCTCCCCTTTCTCAGGTCCCTCGCTCCGGCTCTGCGCGCTCTCCGGCGGCAGCTCTCTCGGGGCGAAGCTAGGAATAGGGTGGGATTGTACCGGGCAGCCCCGCCGCCGCCGCCGCGGACATAGCTGGGCTGGGAGAGGGCGGGGGTTCCCCGCCGGCAGCCGTGCCGGGCGCCCCTCGCCTCGTCGCGCTCTCCGCCTCGCTCTCCCCGACGTCCGGCCGGGAGGAGCGGGCAGCATCGGAACCTCCCGCCCAGGGCGCCGCGGTCCGCGCTTCGCGCCTGCAGCCCCCCGGCCCCGGCGGGGCGCCCCTCCCCTCCCCACTTCGGCGCGCGGGGCACCCAGGCGGCTTCCGCCCTCCCCGGGCTGCGAGACCGGCCCCGGCGGACCGGCCGCCCGCAGCTCCAGCCATGGGCTCGAGGCGCGTGCCCGGGCTCTGCCTGCTAGTCCTACTGGTCCACGCCCGCGCCGCCCAACACAGCAAAGCTGCGCAAGGTAAGGAAAGAAGGGCGCGCGGCCGCCGGGCTGTCCGGACTGCGGGGTCCGAGGGCCGGGACGCGATCTCCGAGGGGCAGGGCAGGTGCTAGGAAGCGAGCGGCTGTCAGGGCCCGGTCCTGAGGACGCCGACTCCAGCTGGGTGCCCGAGCCCTGCACGCTGCGCCCCGGGCGTAAAGCCGGAGGAGCCTGGCGCCACAGGGCTGAGAAGTTTGGGGGGGGGGGGGTGAGAGGCGGTGGGTAGACGTGACCATGCGCCTCGCAAATTCTGCCAGACGTCACCGCCACCCCCAGCATCTCCGTAAGACTTCTTGTCCTCCAAAGTCCCAAAGAGAATCTTCTCTCCCCTCAAACGTTGCCAGAAACTTCAGTTGTGGCCTGGAGAGAGACTAGGGGAGTGAAAACTTTTCAGCCACGCCATGTATTTCTTCTCCCCATTCTCAACCCGCACGCAAGGACCAGAGATTTCGAAGTTGCTGTCTTATCGGTAGAAAAATGTTAAAGAAAATAGGATCTTTTCTGGAAAAACCGACCCCTCCATCACACGATGGTAGGGGCTGCCGGAGAGAAGAGGATCCTTGACTTGTGCCGCTGGCCAGCGAGCTGGGTTTCTGCCTCTTTTGGGGGAGATCTCTTTCGTCTTGCATGGCTTTCATTTCTTATCATAATATTTATTTATTAAGGTCTCGGGTTTCCAATTCCATTTAAATCCAGATCAGAATTGCATTAAAATAACAAAAGTAAAATTCCAGGCTCGGGAGCTCTGACAGATCCCTCCAGGAATGAGAGACAGGGAGGCCCTCCCGCCCTAGCCCTAGTCCCTGACCCAGAGCTCATCGCCCAGCGGTCCCCCAGGGCTGTGCTGGCAAGAAACTAGGCTGATGTGCCACAGAGCTCTTGGGACAGCCTCCCCTCCCCCCTTGACCTCTGGCTGCACCCCTCCCCCCAGGGTGCCCTCACTGACAAGAGATTTATATGGACAAAAAGAAAACTGCTCCTGGCCAAGTTTGCCCAGGAGGCTAGGATTCTGCCTATTGTCCCAGAGGCTCCCAAAGCCAGCCTGGTTGATGAGGTGGCTGGCTGGGCCAGAAGGAAAGTTGAACTTGGGAGTTGGGGAAGCCTGAGGGTCTGGCAGTCAGGCTGCTGTGTCTGCTAGTCTGGGCACTTGGCTTTGAAGCAGCTCTGGGTGCTGGATGGGCTGCCGCCCTCTCACAAAACAACGCCTCCTCAACTAACCCCCTTCCCCCTCCAACCTGTTCTTGAGCAACGGAAACAGGAGAGACCCTCAGCTGTCAAATATCGGACCCCACCCCCAACCCCTTCCAACCTCTTCTCCAGTCCTGGTTCCAGACAACCCACGGCTGCCACCCCCAGCCTGGGAGTAGCCCCTCTCCTCACTGTGGATTTGCTTGTGTTTTCATAAACAAAGCTGGCTTTTGTAGTGTGTGCTGACTTACTCATAACATAGAATTAGCCTGGGAGTTTAGTCTGAAGGAAGGAACAGATTTCATGCTGTAATCTAGAGACAAGATAAGGGCCTCTTTCAAGTTGGAGCCAGTGTCTAGTGGCCTAGTGAGGCTAGGGTAAATGTGCGTGGAGGGTGCAAAAGGAGAGGCAGTATATTCAAGGGGGTAACAGAAGTGGAAGGGGAGCCCCTTAAAAGGGGACAGGTACCATTGAGCCTAGGTGCTCAAGCCTGGGAGATGGGCCCACCCTTCAGGGATGGGTCAGAATCCTTCCGAGGTTCTCCAGAGCCCCCCTCCTCCAATAGACACCCTGCTGGGTGCTGGGGGGAAATGCTGGCTGCCAACTGGTAGTTCTGTCCACTGCTTATCACTTGCTCGGCCTGGACTGCAGTTGGCATGGCTTCTTCCTTCCTTCCTTCTCATTCTTGAGTCCAGAGTGGCTTAGAACGGAAGCCTCTGACTGACCTCTCTGTTCAGGAAATCTATAAACCCCATCTGCCAGAGGCTGCCTAACGACGCGTTGGCGGGATCAGAGGGATGTGTCTGAACCCAAATTTGCAGGCAGATGCTGCAGGAATGCTGGGGGCACCGCGGAGGCCCACCTTCTCCCTACAAATAGGTGTCTCCCCGGTGTCTCCCAGGTGCTACATGGTTTTCAGTAAGGCTGTAGCGGATCTTTAAAGACTACAGATACCCGTGGCAGTGACTTTCGCGTGGATCCACTGTGTCTCTGGGGCTCTGTGGGTCTCTGTTCCTTTTCACTGGTCATCCCACAGTGGGAAAACCAAAGTGAAGTGGAATGGGGGTGCCAGGAAGCGAGCCCTAAGTGTGACGGAGAGGGAGTGTGTGTGAGGCTCACCACGATCACCCACAGGGGACACAGCTGGGTGTCTGTGTCCACTGCAGCTTGGTTGCTTGGAGTGAATGCTCATGTTTGAGTGTCTGGAAGAAGTGTGTGTGGACCAGTGGGTGGGTCCGTGGTGTGGCTGGGAGGGAGTGAGCATGAGAGTACATGGTTTTGAGTGTTTTTCAAGTGCCTGTGTGTGTATTTTAAAGTAGACAGACTGGATAACCAAGATGATTGTTAACTTAAAAGCATTAATTTCCTTTGCCTTTTTTTTTTGGGGGGGGGGTGGGCAACAGCGGCTAAAAAGTCCTAATCCTCAAATAGGGCTCAGGTTACAACTGAATGAAAAGGTCTCCCAGCCTCCAGGGAAGCTGGTCCCCAAGGCAGGGCCTGAGAGGGCCAGCCTGCCCCTTTAGTTTACCCGGTATTTTTCTTGTCTCCATAGGGGCAGTTTTGATAAAGTCACATATGTAGTTTCCGAGTGACACCATCCCTGGACCTTAGCGTGTTCGGCTGGCAGCAAACAGTGTCTGTCTCAGTGCGTCTCTCCGGTCTCTGTCTGCCTCTCTCTCTCTCTCTCTCTCTCTCTCCCCCACCCCTCTCTTCCTCTTTAATGCGCCTGTTTCCTCTCCTCCCGCTCCCCTCAGCTCCTGTGGCCAGCTCTTACAGTGAGGGGACTGTTCCTCCTAGCCCCTCCCTCCAAAATATGAAATGAAAACCATAACCGTGTCAGTGGGCAGCCATGTGGTGGGGAGAGGGAACCCCCACTTCTGGAGCCTGATCTTCAGTCAGTTCCCTCTAAGTCTCCCCCTCCCATTTTTCCAGAAAGGTGGAGAATCGGCGCTGGACTGCTAGAAATTCCTCAGCAATCCCTTTGACCTCTCCTCTCTGTGACTTGTCTTGGCGGGGAGGGAGCCCCCGGGCCAGCGAGTACAGAAACCTTTCACTGTTTTCATCTGCTTGGGTCTCTGCAGGGTGGAGTGAGAGAGGGGCCAGAATTACTGCAGGCAGAGGAGGAGGAAAGTCATCTGCAAGCCCAGATGAGAGTGTGTTCTGAAACCTCCGGGAGTCCAGAGAGCCGTGAGAACCGGTTGGAGATGGGAGCCTGAGCGGCTGAGACCTGTTGTGAGGCCCACCCCCACCCCCACCCCCGCCCGGCAGGAGTTTGGGGAATGTGAGGTGTGCTTTCACCTGGGTGTGTGAGCCTGTGTGCGTGTGCACGCGTGTGCCGCCAGTGAGGGAAAGGGAAGTGGGGCCATGTGGGTTTTGTTTTAGTTGGAGAACTAAAGAAGAGGCAGGGCTCGGTCCAGTGCCTTTTGCTGAGGGTGGGGGAAGGGAACGGATGGCTTCAGACCCTCTGGAGGCTGTGGGGGTGGAGGAGCCTGCCCCCCGGCGCTGGTCCCCGCGTGTGAGGGTGTGGGCCTCCTTTGACGTCCCGTACCCCTAGCACATGACCACTTCTAAGAAAGAGTCCCTGTCGGGGCTGGAAACTGCGGAGCTGGTCTGAGGCTGGCAGCGCCCGCAAGAGGCCCAGACCTGGGGACAGTTTCTTCAGGCCCAGTTAGAAGACAGGAGGCTGAATGAGGAGGGCTGCTGAGCCCTCGGAAAGAAGCAAAACAACAGCCAATCCAGGGATGTCTGGGGTGGGAAGGGCCGGGCACCTGGGGGCAGAGGGGACATGGGCTCCGCTCTCCTCCCGCACTGCCTCACGCTGGCACAAGGGGGTGGAGGCTCTGCGCCAGTGGACTTGGATAAATACAGAGCCTAAGGATTGGGATCCTGGAGGAAATCATTGAAATTCTCCTCACTTGCAAAGAAAATATCAGCTGGGGTCTCCTGCAGTTCTGAGATTCCACCACCTCTCATCAAACCCTGCCTGCTGGAGGCAGAAGCCGCCGTGGCAAGCCTGTTCTGCAGCCGGGTCTCCTCAGGTTCCTCACCTACATGTTGGGACCTCTCCTCCCTGGACCCTGTTCCACTTCTGCCTGCCCAAGTCTAGGTCACTTAGCTGCTCAGGGCCCCACGCACCTGACAGGTCAGTCCTTAACGGGGGTATTTGCTTCTACTCAAAGCCCATGAAGAGTGCATGTGTTGGGATGTGCGGCTGAAATGCCCATGTTGTGGGAACGGGATATTCTCGAGGTGGGACCCTGAGTCCTTGGCCCTACACCATGTATTTCCAGCTCCAAGCCCAGCCCTCTGTATTCCGCCCTGGTCTAGACATCTCCCCTCTTCAGATCAAGGAACTACTCTGTAGTCATGATTGGATGCCGTGATTTGGCCACACAGGTGGGGTGATGACCCCCTAAATGAGGCGCGGTGGCCCTTGCTCTTACCTCTGGTCTTCTCTTGGCGGTGTGCATAGTCCTAAAGAGCTGTGGGGTTGGGGTTTCACAGCCCATGCCAGGAGCTCTCCAGGTCTGATCACTGACAGTGAGCTGAGGAATGACCTGGACAGAAGATCCAAGATAAGGAGACAGATCTAAGGGTCCTTGGGTGAGGGTGGATTACTAGGATCCGTGGGCATTGGTGGGGAGGGCTTAGAGAAGGGGGGGTGCTTAAAGGGGAGCCCCTGGGGAGCAGGTTTACAGAGAGGACGTTTTTACAAGTTTCTAATTATATTTATTTGGAGTTTTCCTCCGGCGGTTTGAAGCTGTTAACAGCAGGAACCTGTATCCCTGGTGTTTGTTTTTGTTTCTAACCAGCTGCTTGGCTTCAGTGTAGAGAACCCAGGGCGCAGGCGACACCTGCCCACTGCTGCGCCGCCCACCCCTTCTTATTGTGACTGTGCCTGCACGCTCCCTGCTCACTCCTCAGCCCTGCTCCCGGCTGCTGCTGCCCCAGACCCAAAGCCTCAGAGCATCCGCATGCCTCCAGGTTTCAGTGCCAGGCCGTTCCACGGTGAGGTACTGAGTGCTCGCTCCACACTGAACCAAATGCTGACTGGGGATCAGGGAGGCACCACAGTGACTGAGTCCCGGCTTCTTCCCTCAAGTGCTTCTAGAAGGCAGTGGCGCTGAGAGCACTGGACGGGGAGTCGGAAAACCTGGGGGCCTGGCTCCACACTAGCCATTTGCTCTTTCCTGGGATGCCTCACTTTGCTTCAGTTTCCTTATCTGTTTAATTAGAGACTAAACCATTTGAGGACTAAATGAAATAACTTACATTAAAAAAAAAAAAACTCTGCAAACTTAGTGAAAGTGTACACATCTGACACCATGGTTGTGTTGTTATCTTTGAAAACTCATAATCGTGAAGCCAGAATCTACCTCTGCCCGCCTCCCTCCTACCCCCTCCCTCTCCAATGCTGTTCTTCCCCCAACTCATTAGCCCCTTCCCGTCCTCGACAGGCCTGACGCAAAGCTGTTAGTTCTGTCCATACCCAAAACTGAAATAAGCAAGGAGCTGGATGAGGGGCAAGGTAGGACTTCAGAGAAGAACTCAGCAGCTTCCCCTGAAAGGTGGTAAGGTCTTAGGGTCAGCCCTGTTCCCTCCGCATCACCACTCATGACTGCTTTTCCTGACTCTTCAGTTGGAGAGGCTAAGATTGTGGGAAAGGGAAGTGTAGTTTTTTAAGAAAGAAATAACTTTTTTCTTTGGGGTCAAGAGGTGGTCATCTGTGTGGTTTCCTGGACTCTGTCTAGGTCTCCTTCACCTCTGACTATGTTTTGTCTAGGCTGAAAATGCACCCAGGCTCCAGCTGAGGTCACAGGGCCTCACTGGGATGACAGCCTGTGACAGCAGTACCGTGGAGCCAGGCCCTGTCAGTTTCCCTAGCTACCGTTTTGATCGAAGAGTTAGAGCAGATGTGTGCAGATGCGGGTGTACATGCAACGTGCTGCAGGTTAGGACGTCATGGCCAAAGCCTGGCTGGTTCTGTCTTGGACATTACTTAGACGAGGAGGAAAGAATGAGGGAACCGACCAGGAGCAGCAAGGGAATGCCGGTCTCTGTCTCAGATGGCCTGTGGTGTCCCGTCATCAGGTGTTCGCGCTGAGGCTCAGGTACCTCTGACAGGGATGCTCTGGAGAGATGCCTCTAGTGGCCCCAGGTGACAGCTGAGTATCCTGGGTCCCAATCTGGTCCCAGCACTCATCAAATGGATGCCTTTTTTAGGTGGGTACCACCCTTCTTTGAGTTTCCCGTCTCTCTTGAGATTAAAATCCCTGGGATTTCTGGACTTCCCTCCACCCAAAACACTGGTAGGGTCACAGGACAGTAAAGAGATGAGCTGCTTCTATGAGCTAACACAGAGCAAAGGATGCCCCCACCATTCACTCCCCCACCAACCCATCTACTCACGCGTCTACTCAGCCGTCTGTCCCCACATACGTACTCACCGCCTTGAATGTGGTATTAGTCTGCCTTGCTTGGCTGATGAACCCCCAAGCACCCAGCACAGCGCTTTTCATGTTGCAGCCACTCAGCAACTACTTGCTGAATGCCTGAATGAATACACTCAACTCTATTCCAGCTGCCACATAGGTTTTAGAGATTCCAAAGTCATGGCCTCAGAGACCTTTAGGCTTCAGTAGGTAATACATGTAAACTAAGACTTAAACAGTGATATCAAGGCAATGTATAAGAGACTGATCGCAAGGCAGTGATCCATAGGTGGCCAAAGAACCTGACAATGAAAGCCTCAGGAGTTAAGGCTGGAGCAGTCCCAGGTAGCTTCCCACCAGTGCCGCCTGAACGGGGCTCTCAGTGATGGGTGAGATTTGGAGCCATTTAGGGAGAGGGAGGAGTGAGGCAGACACCATACATCCTGGGCTAGCCTGGCAGGGACAGAAGGGTGTCACAGCCATGTGAGCGCATTACAACACCAGGCAGCCTGCATCTGACCTTCTGCTTGGGCCCATCAAATTTGCCCATAACTTTATCCACTGCTGTGAGTGGCGTTTGCTGTGGTAATGTAAAAGCAGGGCAGATCCTGTCTGGGGGTGTCTATCCATAGCCCACAGTGCACAGCTCTGCTCATTTCCAAAACTATAAAGTAGAGGAAGTGTTTCCTTGGGGGTCCTGCTGCTCCTTTTTTGGGGTCTACTTCCCCATCCTTAGAAGGGATCTTGAGGCCACCTGTGTTATGATGATCCATCCTTTCTGGTCTGCCCTCCAGGTCGTATCTGCCACCCCGTTTCTCCCTTTTCTGGAGTGTTCCACCAGGCACTGGAGCAAATTCAGATGGAATGTCAGATGGTGCTGGGGAAAGCTGCTGCAGTTACAGACCCGCACCTTTGTACCAGGAGAGGGTGAGGCAGGGAGGGCTCTGCTCATCTGTAGTTAACTCTGCAGCCCACTCTCTCCGATTTCAACGTCTGTTCCAGTCCAGTACCTGTGGTGGGGTCTCCATAGCCTTCACAAAGGACTGTGGAGGGCAACATTTAGCCAGCACGTTCAGGGATATGTCTACCCCGAACTCGTCTGCACAATCATATGCCCTGTGGTGTCTCCACAGCAGGCCTGAAATGGGGCTTTGATAAGGAGGATGGAGTTCAGAAAGGATACAAGAGAAGGAATAATGATAGCAAACATTTATGGAGCACTTACTGTATATCTCCACTGTGGTGCTAACTACTTGATGAGTGTTAACTCATTTGATGCTCACAGCAGCCCTCAGGGAGGTGCTATGATGGTTATTCCCATTTACAGAGGAGGGGACAGGTAAGTTTGGAGGTTGGCCCAGACCACATGGACAGCTGACAGAATAATACTCCAGAACCTCTTCTCTTACACTTTGTCATGCTGCCCCATGGTCTCTTTCCAGCTCCAGCATGGACCAATAGTTTATCCACATTACCTGAGTTGGGAAAGGGAGACAGGTAGCACCCTGGCTTTACTCTGGTTATCCTAATTCAGCTGCTCCAGGGGGTACCTGAACACTCACATTTTTAAAGGGGTCCCCAGTATGCCGTCAAGGTTGAGAACCACTGGTCTCACTCAGTCCATGCCCACTGGCAGCAGGGGCTTGGCCTGTGTCCGGAGAGAATGAGCTGAGGCTGTGCCCATAAGCATTGAAGGGATCCCTGCAAGGCCAGGTTCTGGGTGGGCAGGTAGGCAGGTGGCAGGGGCTCTGAAGAAGCTGCTGGATGAAACTTAGGGCCCTATTTCATAGCTCTGCTTTAGGCCTGTTCTGCTTCTTCTTCTTCTTCTTTTTTTGACAGGCAGAGTGGACAGTGAGAGAGAGAGACAGAGAGAAAGGTCTTCCTTTACTGTTGGTTCACCCTCCAATGGCCGCCGTGGTTGGCGCTCTGTGGCCAGCACACTGCGCTGATCCAAAGGCAGGAGCCAGGTGCTTCTCCTGGTCTCCCATGGGGTGCAGGGCCCAAGCACTTGGCCATCCTCCACTGCACTCCTGGGCCACAGCAGAGAGCTGGCCTGGAAGAGGGGCAACCGGAACAGAATCCAGCACCCCAACCGGGACTAGAACCCGGTGTGCCGGCACCGCAAGCAGGAGGATTAGCCTGTTGAGCCACGGCGCCGGCCTGTTCTGCTTCAAAAGATGCCAGTTTTACACCTTGGTTTCAAGGTGGGAAGCAATGCATCATAAATCTTTAATAAATTTCAATCTCAAACCAGTAGGTGCTTAATGTTTCTTGATTTCTCACTGAACGTCATGGGTTCTATTAATAAGAAGGAAATGTAGGGTCCAAACCATTGTCATCTAATTGCCCTTGGATTTTTTCCAAGATATAAAATGGGGCTTTATGAAAAATTCCAAGCTACCAAGTAACTTTGGAGTGATTCCCTTCCGTCCTGTTCTGGTCCAGAAATGCCAGGCCTTGTAAAGGCAATACAGCTTTTGAAGTACTGGATGGTCCTTGGCTTAATCTACAGGCTTCCGCTTCATGGCCCATTAGTTTTGCCACATGCATAGGAGAGCTGTTCTCTATGAGACAGATCAGAGCTGCAAATACCACATGCAAATGATATGGTAGCTTTGAGAATGGTCTGTATTGTATTTGAAGACCATTTCCCACAAACCTGAAGTTTCCATGTGTGTATTTCAATTTGGTGTGCTAAAAGGTACTGAAATAATGTATAATTCTTCTGTGTTTTTCTTGCAATCTTGTAATCTCAGTTCAAATGTAACTGAAAATATAAAACCCAGATGATTTCAATGCAGTTAAACTGAACTGAAAGGTAACTTGTGTGTGATTCTGAAGATGTATATAAAATATTTTTATTTCTAAAAGAAGATTTCAAACAAATAGTTAGGGTTCTTTCTTCGCCAGTGCTCACCTATGAGGAGAGCTGAACATGATACATGACATGGCTTTAAAGAGTTAGCCATAATGTGCGCCCTGGGAGGTGGCAGATCATGGCCCAAGTACATGGGTCCCTGCCATCACATGAGACCCGGATGGAGTTCCGAGCTCCTGGCTTGGGTCTGGCCCAGCTTCGGCTACTGCAGGCATCTGGAGAGTGAACCAGCAGGTGGAAGATCTCTGTCTCAGGCAAACTGAATCCCCCAGGAACAGGAGTTCACCAGGAATGAGGCTGATCAGAAAGAGCTTTTGCACAGATCTGGAAAGCCAAGCAGTGTAGCTATGAAAGAAAAAAGAGGAATGCACCAGTGTGGTCAGTGAGATGTTGGAAAGGAGCAGAGTAGGTAGGTGCTGTAGAGGCCGTGGGGGGGGGGGGGTGGTGGTAAAGTCTTCCAGGGAAGAGTCTTTTTGCAGGAGATGGATCAGCATTGTGAGCAGGGAGATGAGGGAGAGCAGGAGATGGCAGGAAGACTGGCTGCTGGAGGGGTTTGAAGGCTCTGCCAAGAGGCCTGGGTTTGTGGTGATATCCATCAAGGTCCATCCTAGCAGTGGTGCACATTAAATGGAGGCAAAGGGAAGAACTGGGAGCCCAGGTAGCCTGTGGCAGGCCCTGGTGAAGCACAGATAGGGGATAGGCACACATCTCTGACGGCCCCAGAGGAGGGGAGGGGCTTCTGTACCAGTTGCTGTAACTTGGCTCCAGGCCCAGGAGTATCCCTTATTCAGAACTCTGTGCTGTCCAGTAGATCTGTGATGTTGGAAATGTCCATGTCTGTGCTGGCCACATGTGGCTATGGAGCATTTGGCCTATGGCTAGTGCAACAAGGGAACTGAATTTTAGATTAATGTAATAGCTACGTGTGGCTAGCGGCTACCATACTAGCACCATCCTAGAGTAACTGTTGATTTCATACTTATCATGTCAGGCTTCCTACACTGGGAGCCTCCTGTTACCAGACACTCCAATGGGCGCGCTACACAAAGCACCTCATCAACCGCTCACAGCCTCTCATAAGGAGGTATTGCCACCCTCACTTTAAAGGCGGAGGAGACAGACAGTAAAAGTGGCCTCTGCAGAGTGGTGGAGCTGGACTTGAATCCAGAACTAGTGCTTATGACTGTCCTGTGATAGTGCCTTTCTTTGTACCACTTTCTTTCCATTAGTTGGACCAACTGATTCTCCACACAGCCTCTTAACCATCTATAAAGTCCCTTGCACTGGCCGGCGCTGCAGCTCACTTGGCTAATCCTCTGCCTGTGGCACCGGCATCCTGGGTTCTAGTCCCGGTTGGGGTGCCGGATTCTGTCCTGGTTGCTCCTCTTACAGTCCAGCACTCTTCTGTGGCCCAGGAAGGCAGTGGAGGATGGCCCAAGTCCTCGGGCCCTGCACCTGCATGGGAGACCAGGAGGAAGCACCTGGCTCCTGGCTTCGGATCAGCTCAGCATGCCAGCCATTTGGGGGGTGAACCAACGGAAGGAAGACCTTTCTCTCTGTCTCTCTCTCTCTCACTAACTCTACCTGTCAAAAAAAAAAAAAAAAAAGTCCCTTGCACCCTCACTTATGAACCAGTCTTCCATCCTCCTCTTCTCCATTCTTTCACTTTGGGAGGACTTCCCACAGTGAGAGGGCAGGTGTACACCCTGGCTGCAGGGTCTGAGTGAGGAAGAGTTTAAGTGTGGCCAGGCTCTCTGCACTGGGCATGGGGGGGGGGGGTGGCTGCAAAGAAGCAGAAGGGGGTTGAAGGATAGAGCGCAGAGTGCAGAGCTGAACAGACGCCTGGAAGACTTCAGGCAGAGCGTCTGGGTGGCACTCTTCCAGATTCCTGTTCTCTGCTTAGCCCAGGGAACTTCAGACCTGCCCCCTAAAGTATAAACGAAGAGGACAGGTAACTGTGTCCAGCCAGGACTCAAGGGTGCCTAGAGAGAGGTCACTGGTTTACTCACCCATTCATTAAAAACAGATCGAGCTTCTTAAGGATTTGGATTCAATAGGTCTACCATAAGGACTGACAATAGCATTTTTAACAAATTCAGGCTGTTCTATAGCCCACAAAATCATACCTGGCATTCAGGCTATCTTGCTTTCAAATCCTATTTCTTTTACTTGGAGGCTGCCACTTGTATATGACCTTGGATATCCCAGTTCACAGCTCAAAGTAACACAGGTTCTCAGCCCTGGCTGCACATTAGAATCACTGGGATGGATGGCTGTAGAAAAACACTGATGGCCAACAAACCTCAGCCCAGGTTTGTCGACCAGAGTCTCTGGGGGTATGGACAACTCAGGAGAGCGGACTCTGATGTTCTGCAGGGTTGAGGACTCCCCTCACCTAATCTCTAATTTCTCTGAGGGCACGCACCATACCCTGCTTCATGTTACGAGTCTCTTCTGGGCTGGGCTGAGCCTGTGTAGTAAGCACTTGCAACGGAATGAAACATTTCCTCCCATTTCAGTTCAGCTTATGGGCACATGATACTGCCCCGGAAGTTGGAATCTTTTGCCCAAAGACTCTTCCCTGTGGCCTTTCTTCACCATCTTTTTAAAGTTAGATCTTAGAGGTCTGTGTGTAGCACCTGTTATCAGGGCAAGGGGAGAGCAGCACTGTTACAGCACAAGAGCTGAGAGTCCTGGGGTGGACGGCCCGGCCTGTGTCACCGGGAGAGCCAAGAAGGCTGCACCCATCAGTCTTTGGTTGCTGAAGTCCCACGGCTGCTGGTGGCAGAGAGGCCAAGGAGAATCTCCCAGGATGGCACTTCTTTCCTTTATAGCTTCTTGGTGCCATGGAGGACAAGTGGGGGCAGGCCTGGCCTCAAGCAGAATCCTGAAGCCCAGGAGGATCCCTGAGATGCCCTGTCTCTTTCTTCCTCCTTTAATTACCAGTGACCCCTGGACCCTGCCCCCTTTCCAGAGGATGCTGTGCCCAGGCCTTTTCTCTTTCTCTTCCTCCAAGCCTGCTCCTAAGAAAGGCAGTAAATCAATTTATACTAGGTAGATTACTTCTAATCAAAATTAAGTGTACTACTCAGCCAAGAGGTTTTTGTTTGTTTTTAAGTCAAAGAGGAGTGAGCTGTCATTGTGGACTAAGCTTTTCAGAAAGTGTTAGGGGTTCCTTCTGAATTCCTAAGATGACAGAGTCTGTGCAGAAAGATCGGTGATGTGCAGCACATCTCTTTCTGGAGAGGCTGCTGCCTGTTTTAGAGAAGAGGGGATTTTGCCTGGGGAGCCCACCTCAAGACACCTGCTGGGAGATGCCAACAGAAGGTCTCACATGTTCCCCGCTCTGCTCCTGCCAGATGTGGACGAGTGTGTGGAGGGGACTGACAACTGTCACATCGATGCCATCTGCCAGAACACCCCGCGGTCCTACAAATGCATCTGCAAGTCTGGCTACACGGGAGATGGCAAACACTGCAAAGGTGAGGCTGGGAGGGTGCCCAGAGAAGGGTGACCTGTGGGAAAAGGGAAACCAATGCATTGCCCTCAGTTAGCCACACTGGACACAACACCCAGCACTGAAATCTCTGGGGGCAGTGCATCTTCCCAGAGGGTGCTATTTCCTAGTTTGCACAAGGGTGCCATCAGGTTAGCTGAGCCTCTCTGCTGGGACAGTTCACAGCCCCACAACTCAGCTGGGGCGGGAGCATCAGAATCATGGGACTAGGGCAGTTTAGATCCTTACACCACACCAGCAAAGGATGGGAACAGAAAATGTACCTCAGGGGAATTCCTACTGTAAACAAACACATCTTCCCCTCATAATTAAAGCAATGCAAATTAAAGTAGCCTTGAGATACTATTTTAGATTTGTGAACTTCAGTGCTGGTGAGACTTCCACAGGCAAGGTAGAGACTCATTAACTCCTAATGGCATAAACTGGGAAGTACAGTTGTCCGTCAGTATCTACAGGGGATTGGTTCCAGGTCGTCCCCACCCCCACTAGAAGGAGAGCAGACTCCACAGATGCCCAGATCCCTCAGATAAAGTGCTGTGGTATTTGCACATAACACATGCACATTCTCCTGTACACTTTACCTCATCTCCAGATTACCTAAAATGCCTAATGTAAATTAAGTGCCATGTAAATAGGTATACTTGTCATTTAACAATGACAAGAAAAAAGTATGTATGTCTTTGGTACAGATACACTTATTTTTCTTCGAATATTTGTGATTGTGGTTGGTTGAATCTGTGGATGCAGAACCCCTGGAGGGCTAATTTAATTTGAGAAATCTTTAATTTAATTTAAGGAAACTAATTTAATTTAAGGGTTCTTAAAAGGTATTTTATAACTTTCAACCCAGGAATTTTATTCTTGGGAACTTATTCAAAAGAAATTTAAAGAAACAAAATATTTGGGGTAAATATGTTCTCAAATGCATTATTTTTGATATTAAATTAAATGAAAGAAACATAAGTGCCTAACAATGGAGAAAAAGGATTAATGTTATAATATGGCAACACAATGGAATATTCTGCCACCGTATACAATGGTCATTAGAAAGACTGGATGGAGGCCGGCGCTGCGGCTCAACAGGCTAATCCTCCACCTTGCGGCACCGGCACAATGGGTTCTAGTCCTGGTCGGGGTGCCAGATTCTGTCCCAGTTGCCCCTCTTCCAGGCCAGCTCTCTGCTGTGGCCCGGGAGTGCAGTGGAGGATGGCCCAAGTGCTTGGGTCCCTGTACCCACGTGGGAGACCAGGAGAAGCACCTGGCTCCTGCCTTTGGATCAGTGTGGTGCGCCAGCCGCAGCGCACCTGGCCGCAGCGGCCATTGGAGAGTGAACCAATGGCAAAGGAAGACCTTTTTTTCTCTCTCTCTCTCTCTCTCACTGTCCACCCTGCCTGTCAAAAAAAAAAAAAAAAAAAAAAAAGACTGGATGGAGATGTGAGAAAAAATGGGCTTAGCTGAAAATCTGCAAAATGTAAAATAGTTTGTAGGCTATGACATGACCATGAAAACACAAAAATGCACACAGAGGTTGTATTTTAAAATAAAGTAACTGCAAGGCTGAGCCCTCGGGTGGACAGTGCAGGGCCCGAGGTGGGGTCAGCTGTCCCAGCTTCTCTTTGCCCACAGACGTGGATGAGTGTGAGCGGGAGGACAACGCAGGTTGCGTGCATGACTGTGTCAACATCCCTGGTAATTACCGATGCACCTGCTACGACGGATTCCACCTGGCACACGATGGACACAACTGTCTGGGTGAGCAAGGGAGAAAGGGGTTGGGGGCGGTGGGATATTTTGCAGGGAAGAGGATGCTTCCAGCATTTCCCATTTCCCAGGCAAGGAGGGGAAAGTAACTTCAAAGAGCTACATTCCCACAAGGGGGCAAGGACAGTCTCCTCTTTGGGTCTGGCCTCTAAGGATGAAATAATCTTGCTGCTGGATGAAAAATAGCAGAGGTGATCCTGCTAGGAAGAGCTCGCAGGCTGAGGGCCAGGAGACGAGAACAGTGAGCGTGGTCACAGTGGATGAACAGAGTAGGAAGATGACTTGGCTCTAGATAAATCCTGGTTCTGCTGCTTACTAACTAGTTGTAGGCCCTTGGGCAAATCAGCTAATCTCTGGAAACCTTAGCTTCCTCATCTCTCAAATGGCAACAGCAGTAACCTACTCAGAGGCTGCTGGGTGGATCCCCGTGAGAGGATATGTCTAAAGAGCCCTGTCCAATCCCTAGTACATAGTAGGTGCTCAACAAGTGGGAGAAATAGTGTTCCTGATGAGTGTGGTGATGTGGCTCCCCAGGGCACAGGGAAGCAGCAGCATCAACAACTGAATGGGCCTCTGTTCCCCCTCTCCCCACTGAGAAATGGAGGAAAAATCTTGGCCAGAGTAGCTGAACTGTGAGGTTGGAACAGAAGGGGACAAATAGAGGGATGGAATGTAGGATGGGGCAAAAGCAGGAAGACAGTGCTGGGGAAGCCCAGGCATAGCAAGAGATAGGGCAGACACAGGAGCAAACCTGAGGAAGGTATACCTCCTTAGCTTATCTAGCAGGTGCACCTCACAGGCAAGAGCCAGCTGGATCCAGGTCTCCCTGCTCTTAGCCAGAAGGGGAAGAGAGGATTTTTAGAGCCTCAGCAGAAAAGATGGGAAGCAAGAGGCTGATGAGTGCCCCAGGAGGCCAAATTCTAGTTGCTCCATTTGGCAACCAATCTCCCTGATGCCTCCTGGGCCAAGGCAAACTGAGAAGGGCTACGGACGTGGGAGGTCAGTAGCTAGCATAGGGATGGAGTCAAGCACTGAAGCTTGGCTCTGGGACTTGGGGGTTGTGATTTGGGGGTGAGAGCCTACTCTTCCCCCTCCCATCGAGGGTGTGGCCTGGCAGTTCTCCCCCTATCCCTCCCCGCCAAGCTGCCAGACTGTGTTTTGTTAAACCAAAATAGGAGAAAGGCTGGGGAATATGGCAGCAAGCCCAGGCATGGGGGAGGGGGGAAAGGACAGGGCTGTGGCCTGTCCATAGAAATGGTCCCCGCCACACAAGGAATTAAGGCCCAGCTGCCTTTACCCGGCATGTCCCTCCAACCTCAGCACCATGGCCATAGGCTCTTCTTGAACTCGGAACCGTTCCTAGGTTCCTTGATCCCCTGGCTGCTCATCACAACCAGCAGCCGCCTCCATTTACCTCTCCCTGACCCTCTTCCCCACCTCCATCCTCGTCTTCATCACTGTTGCTCTTTTCTGAGCACCTCTGCCCCTGGGACCCAGTTTCCCCAGGTGAAGGAAGGGAAGGAACGTCTTTACCAGCGAGAGCCAGGTTCAAATGCCTCCCCTTGCCTAGTTCCCCAGGTATGCCCTGTTTGGGCGGCCTCATCACATTCACTGGAGTGTTAGCTGACAAGGAGCTGGGTTGGAGCTGACGTGTCTGGCCTAAGGCTGGGCTTGGGAGGTAGGAGGCTGGATTCTTAAGACTGTCTTCAGCCCCCTCTCACCCTGCACCTTGGTCTGCACCCCATGGCCCCACCTATTGCCTGTCCTGCACAGACGTGGACGAGTGTGCCGAGGGTAACGGTGGCTGCCAGCAGAGCTGCGTCAACATGATGGGCAGCTATGAGTGCCACTGCCGGGAAGGCTTCTTCCTCAGCGACAACCAGCATACCTGCATCCAGCGGCCAGAAGGTCAGCCCGTGACCTGGGAGGTCCCTGGGCCTGCCCTCCCCAGGCTTCCCTCTCTACCTGTCCCTCACCCTCCTTCCTCAACTCTGCTAACTCCTTCTCTTGTCCTCCGGTTTGATCACATCCTAAGTGCACCATGGACAGATACTCCAAAATAGAGCAAAATGTGGGGAATTAATTTGGGGCTGGGGTCATTTGGAATTGAGGCGACTGTAGTGTGTCCAAGGTCAATGTTTTCCTAACTGCAGGCCTTTGAGCCTCTCTAAGCTCCAGCTTATCCGAGGGCCCCATCAATGCTGTCCTCCTCGCACTCAATTGGGAGTCAGGCAGGGAGAGTGGGGCTTATGTTGTTCTGCTCTGTGACTCTTCTCCCCACCCCAACCCAGTGTGACATCATCCCTGGGGGCAGTGACTCTAATTCATCTTTGTATCCCCAGTACCTTACACACTGCCCTGCACACAGTTGGAGCAAAATCACATGTTTGTTGGGTAAAATCACATAGTAAGTGTACCAGTTACTCCCCACTCACATAATATACCTGATTGGTATTTATCTTCTTCCCAATTTGACAGGAAGAGAGTGCATCTTGTCTGGGTCCTTACTAAGTCCACTCTGTCCCTGGCACAGTGCCAGGCAATTGTTGGACCGCAGTTCAGGTGTTGAAAGGACAGTGTGATTGGGCAGGCTTTCTCTGGGATGGGTATCTGCTCCTGTTACACCAATCAGGATGGCTTTCAGCACTGCTGGGTAGCACCCCATTTTGTGGGTCTGCCCCTGCAGGGAAGACTCCTTGTGTTGCAACCTCAGAGAATTCTTCTAATTTCTGAGGCCCCCAAATGCCCCTTCTAGCCCTTCCTCCCCCAGGAGGGAGACAGGCCATGCACCCCCTCCTCTTCCCTTTTAGAAGGAATGAACTGCATGAACAAGAATCACGGCTGTGCCCACATCTGCCGCGAGACCCCAAAGGGAGGAATCGCCTGTGAATGCCGCCCTGGCTTCGAGCTCACCAAGAATCAACGGGATTGTAAATGTGAGATTCCTGGGATGGCAGCAGAGGGAAGGGTGGACAAAGCAGCAAAAAGACAGGGCTGGGAGGGAAAGGGAGCAGGGGAGGGACTAGAGAAGAGCACCAGTTGCCACGCCGTGGCACTGTGGCACTCAGTGAGGAGAGAGCTGACAGGCCTCCTGCCCTCTCTGCAGTGACGTGCAACTATGGTAACGGTGGCTGCCAGCACACATGTGATGACACAGAGCAGGGGCCCCGGTGCGGCTGCCATGTCAAGTTTGTGCTCCACACGGACGGGAAGACGTGCATCGGTGGGTGAGGCCAGGGGAGAACTCAGTCTGCCTGTGATGGGGGTGGGTGGGGACCCTCGGGAACCAGGGCGAGGAGGGGAGCACAGGGGCCCAGAGATTGGACACAAAGTGACTGATGAGGGAGTTGAACACCCGGACAGTGGCAGGTCCAATGAGGGACAACCTGGAGAGAAACCGATGGCGCTCACCTGAGCCTCTGCCCGATTCACTGGTTGCATCACCCACCCTGAGAGCTTCACTGGCCTCTTTATCCCATAAAGTGTGGCCAAACTGGAGTAATTCGCAGAGGTGCTTGTTGACGGAGGCTACAGTGGGAAGGGGGCAGAGCACGGGGGAAATGTAGCTGGCTGGGCCTGGCTGGCGCCCTGGTGACTAGTGTGGCGAGATGGAGCTGGCCCAGCCCACTACCCCTACTCTGAACTGATGCTGACAGTGTTCCTTCCTGCAGCAACCAACCCTCAACAGAAAAGTGGGTTTCCTGGCTCCAGCACCCTCTTCCTCTCCAGCCTTTCTTCCCTCACTCTCCTCCTGTGTGCCCCTTCGTTCTCTCTTCCAGACCTCAGTGGTTCACACTCTCAGCTCCACCTGTCATGGTCTCACTTCCTCACCACCTCCAGTCTTCCATCCCGCTCACCCTACTTTGAGGCTCTCTTAAGACCTGTTTCCCTTTTCCTGAACTCCTAGGTCTTACCTCACGTATCTTCAGGAACCTCAATTTCCTAAATTCCTGGTTCCCTGGGTCTTTAGGTCATTAATGCTGAGAAGATGACAGGACGAGGTGAGCCCGTGCAGAGGAGAGGTGGGAAATAAACAGGCAGGCAGGAGGCAGGCTTGCTCTTGGCATGGGTGTCTGTGGGCAGCTGTTCAACTGGTGGCCCTGACATGTTGGGGATAGGGAGGTGTGAACAGTCATTCTGGGTGAGGTCATGCATGTCAGACGTGAGAACCAGCCCCTCCTACCCTCCACCACCAGAGGCCTGCCCCCCCCCCAGGAACAGGGGAGCAGGTGATGCTCTCCCAGGTCCCCCTCAGGCACCTGCTCGAGATTCGCACGGCCAGTTCCCAAGTGTGTCTTCAGTTAAGACCCCTCCTGCTGCACGTTTCCCTCTGGATTCACTTTTCAAAGCCCACAGAACATTTTTGATCGTCACTTTGCCTTCTCTGGGCTACTTTTTTCCCAGCTCCTTTCATTTTTCCTCGTAGGTCTAATTCTTCTACTTGCCAACCTCCCACACTCCCCTGGACGTATTCCCACAGCCCAGAGCCTCCCCAAGACACAGCAATGGCCCCCCAGAAAAACTGCATGAATCAGGACAGAGTGCAGGGCACACAGGACACAAGGGCCTGACCCCGCTCTGGTTCCCTTCTGTTCGGACAGCCCGTGACACGGCTGCTCGAGTTCTTCTCTAAACCAAGGTTCATCCCGCCACCTGGGCCCCGGGTGCCTGAAGCAGAAGAGGGCTCATGAAGCTGTCCTAGGGTTCCAGCTCCCCCTCCTCTTCTCCCTTAGAACTTTCCTTACCTTGCCCTTTATCTCACTTTTCTCACCAGCCCTGGGAGGAGGAAACTTCGTCGGAGTCAGCCTGACACTTGGAGTTAGTGGGAAGACACAGGGTACAGTGTAGCCGAAAGCGTGGACATGGGATTTGGGACTTGGCTGTTTGTAAGACCCGAGGCTGCCTCCCAGCTTTGTCATTCGCGTGCTGTGTGACACTGGGCCCGTGACTGCCCCTCTGAGGCTCAGTTTCTCAGTCCCTTGGTGGGACTCTGTGAGGATGCCAGGCAGGACAAGGCTGAGGAACGACTCTGTTGTAGGGTTCCAGTGCTCATTTGGGCGTTAGTGGTGTGGGCTTACGGGGGGAGGAGGGGTAGGGAGGGGTCTGGGGCCCAGTGGGCCACAGTGGCTCCCGCCCGGCATCTAAACAGCTTTTTTACAATGTCAAACAGGGGAAAGGCGGCTAGAGCAGCACATCCCCACTCAGGCCGTTTCTAATGGTAAATATGTCTGCTCTCCCCGCTTACTCTCACTGGCTTGCTAGGGGAAGGGCTAACCTGCTGGGGCTCCCACTAACCGCATGCCCATCAGCCTGCCCACAGGGCTGTCCTGGCAGCCGGGCACTGGGCCCACTGGGAGACAGGAAACCTAAGTCTCTAAGGACTGGCCTGGGAGCCTTCGTGTTGATCTTGTCTTCCTTTGTCCCTCACACTCTTCCTCTTCTGCTCCTTCCTCCCACACCCACTTCCTAACACGCCCCCTCCCAGCCCTCTGCCCCTCCCCACTCACTCCTTCTTAGTTAAAGATCCAGCTAGCACAACCATCTTACCCACCGTGCCCGCTGCGCACTGAGATGGGGGTGCAGTAGGGTTACGTGCCATCCCTTCCTTGAGATGCCTTCCCTGGGTTCTTACCCACATTCGTTCCCAGTACCAGCACCATGCACCATTCTGGTTAAGAGCACAGCATCTGAGTTGGGACAGAGTTGAGTGTGAATCCTGCCTCTGCCACTTTCCGCCTGTATGACCTCAGGCAAGCTACTTTCCTCTGTGATTGTCAGTTCATTCTTCTGTAAGACAAGGAGACGAACGGTCCTCCCTTCAGGTTGCTGTGATGATTCAGACAGTGTGTGTGGTGCACCTGTAAGCACCTGGCATGGAGTAACTTGTGGCTCTAATTCTGCAGCCTTGGAGAGCAAGGGGTGAGGCTGTGTGTGCCCTGGGCTGCCCCACCTGCTCTGCTATGGAGTATGCTGTCCTGCAGAGGCAGGCAGCCATGCCTGGTATCGTGGTCTAGCTGGGGACAGACGGCCTGTCAGCTCTCCTGCTCCCAGCCCTGGATCCTTCAGAAGCTACCTAGACCCGGCCCAGGATCTCTGTTCCCTTGTCTTGGGCCCAGGGCTTAGTGGACCTCTTCTTATGCTAACAGCACTCTTGTTGGGGGAGCTGGGCTTGGGGAATTTCAGGAACAACTACAGTGAGAATGACACAAGGGGATCCCACTGTGGCTCTTCCCAAGCCCGGGCATGATGGCCAGGAACCCAGTGCCAGGCGTCTTCTGGAGCCCTGGCCTTGCTGCTTCTGTCATAGTGACAAGAGTTGGGCTGAGTGTCAGGTCTCAGAGATTCCAGAAGATGGTAGTGCTGTCCAGTGCTTTTCTCATTCAGTTTCCATTTGAGAATCACTACTGGAGGCCTTGGGATTCTCCCTCTCAGGGGAGAATGCTAGCCCCCCCTCCCCCCAGAATGGGCTACCCCTCCACAGCATCAGGGCACCTGTCAGGAACTTGCACTATTTGAGCTGATCGCTTTTCCTCAGACTCACCTGACTACCGAGCTGCTCTCTAAACCTGTTTTTCTTCTGCTCTGAATTCAGAAAACAGTGAGGAGAGTGGTACAGCCACACTCCCCCACCTCCGAGCTCTTGAAAAGCTTAGCAGCCAAGAGGGAGCCACGCAAGACTTAGCTGAAAAAAGGACTTTAGTTTTGTCAAACTCTGAGGTCCTCACACTCTTTCACCCACCTTTCCACACCCTCTGGATTCTTTTTCTCTTTTTGCCCCTTGCCCTAACCTACATCTCTCCCCATTGCCATTGGGAAAGTAAAACAACACAGCCAGCAACTAGAGGGAGGCTTGGGAGGAACTGGAGGAAGATGACCCAGCGTGTGCTGTCTCCTCTGAGGGTGAACAGTCGTCTGGGACTGGGATCTTTCTCAGGATAGCTGGGCAGGGAAGAAGGGGCATGAAAAGAGATGGCGTCCCTCAGTGGGCGTGGGAGGCACCAGGCACACTCTTCCCACCCCACCCACTCTAAGACTGTCCCACATCCCTGCCCCATGAGATGTTCAGTGGGAAGAGGCAATTCCTATCTGTCCCTCTGGTTCCCTGGCCGCCAGAAACCCCCTCACTCGGCTCCCATCCCTCCCTGCTCCCCCTCACCCCCTCCACCCCCTCAGCACATTCCTGCCTGACAGCTCTGGCTTGTACCTGCCTCACTGCTGTCCACCTTGTTTCAATCAAGCAGGGGGCAGGGACGTGGACTGCTTGGCTGCACTTGTGAGGGGATGGGGGCTGGGAGTGATGGGAGGAAGGGGGCTGGGAGCCGGCAGCCGCTGCTTAATACTCCTCCTAAAGCACAGGGAGGGAGCAAGGCCTTCCCTCAGGCCTCCGTGGTTTCCACAGCCCCGAGCTGGGAACTCCTCTAGGCTACTAACCTGGTTCCCATCCCCAACTCCCTCCTAAACAGAGACCTGTGCTGTCAACAATGGGGGCTGCGACAGTAAGTGCCACGATGCAGCCACCGGTGTGCACTGCAGCTGCCCTGTGGGCTTCATGCTGCAGCCAGACCGGAAGACCTGCAAAGGTAAGGACTTGAGAGGACGGGAGCACAGAGCCCCTGGTAAGGGGCTGAGGTTGGGACCAGAGCTGGGTGGTACCCGTTATAGGATGTCTCAAACCCTTTTATGAAGAACCCGGGGCGTGGCTAAGAGCTGTCTCCTGTATACTTTTCCCATCTAAGTTCAAGGGGCACAAAAGTCCAGCCTGTTCCTTAGTGTCCCCTGCCCCATCTTTACCTCTTTTCCCTACCCATCCCCATTCCCCTGTGGGTCTTTGTGTCCCTGGGTCTGAAAGGCCATCTGAGCCCTGGCTGTGCAAGAGGTCACAGGTGTGGCTCAGAACCTTCTTAACCCACATTCCCTAGACCTCCCAGGAGGCTGGGGTGGGCTTGGCGGTGGGGTGTGCCGGCTCCCTTGGGAAGGTGTACTGGCCAAAGGAAGACTAAGAGGGTGGTCGGGAGCACTGATGCTGGAGTTCACATCCCATTGGCTGCTGGGTTCAGATCCCAGCTCTGTGATTCTGGGCCAGTTGCTTAACGTTTCCATGCCTCAGTTTCCCCACAGTGCTTGCCTCACAGGTGTGTGGTAAGGATTAGATGAGTCACTGTATAGGAAGCACTTAGAACAGAGCGTGGCAAACGGTAAACACTTTGTGTTGGCTGTTATTATGGTATAATCTCCCACAGTGCCCATTCTATTTCCCCTGCCTTTTAATTAGCCAGGTCAGGGGGAGGGTGGGGAAGAGGGAGGAGGAGAAAAGGGAGGGCAGCCATACTGAAAATAATGATTCATCAGGTCTGTGTCCCCCGGTCATAAGGAGTGGGGACTCTGAGGAGGACTGGGCTGGTTCTTTGTGTCTCTTGGCCAGACAGCTGCGAGGGGAGGAGGGGGGCGGAGCGGGGGAGGGCTGGGGCAGCAGGTCAGCCCTGCGAGCCCAGAGGCTTCCTGCTGGGAAGGACTGTTGACAGGTATGCTGAGAGTGAAGTGGAAGGCTGCCCTCCCTGCCCCCTTCCCCCAAGTCGGGCTGAGTAGCCTGGGTCCTGTCTGCCACCAGCTTAGGGAACTTGACCTCAGGAAGGAAGCTGCTCACCCACCCCCTTTTCCCTTACTGGTGCTGAAAGCTGCCTCGGGCCTGAGTCTCTCCAGACCTCTCCCAGCCGGCCCCCTGCCTGGCCCCCCAGCCCTCCCCCACCAGCTGCCCAGCCTGACTGGCTCTCCTGAAGGTCCTCCCTTGCCTGGCCTCCTCCCCAGCTCCTCCCAGGAGGGCAGCCCCTTCCCAGCGAGTCCCTTTGAACTCCCCACCTTTCCCTGGCCCCCTCAGGGCTCTTGTCAGGGCCCTTGTGACAGGGCTGGGAGACAGGAGAGGGAGGATCCTACCTACCAGACGTCTCAGGAATGACCTTCAGCTGGAGAGCACAGGTCATGGACTGGCCTGTAGGTCAGGTGCCCAGCTGCTCCCTGGTCCCAGCAGTTCCCTGAGGGCCTTACTCTGGTGCCCATCTGTCCCCTTCTAAGAGGACTCCGTCTCAGAAGACACTGACAGGAGCGTGAGACAGGAGCAGTGGGGCGGGCCCTCCTTTTTCCCCTGTGTCTGGGAGGGAGGCAGAGATTTCGTCTCCTTGCTTCTTTCCAGCCTTCAATATTATCTTCCATTCTGTTTTGTCCTGCTTGCCCAGACATAGACGAGTGCCGCCTGAACAATGGGGGCTGTGACCACATTTGCCGCAACACAGTGGGCAGCTTTGAATGCAGCTGCAAGAAGGGCTATAAGCTTCTCATCAACGAGAGGAACTGCCAGGGTGAGCGGGCTTGGGTGGGAACTTTTAAGGAGGAAAGAGGTCTGAAGTCTGAGAAACTCAATAGACACTGTGGAGAGGCTCTGGAGAGCGCCGTGCTGTGAATTAGCAAATGGTACCACTTCCTCTTGGCGAGCCAGCTCCACGCTGGAGCACACATCCTGGCAACTCACATCCCCCAGCTGCTACCCTTGGCAGAGTACGACCTGCCTGACCACACAGAGTAGCCCAGATCCGCACGCAGCACGTCTCGCAGTTACTGACTTCAAGGACTCCAAATGGAGGGGACCTCGCTCAACCACTGATCCAAGGGCTGGGTTACAACTAGGGGCACTTTCAGCTCAAGGGGGAGAGCCAGGGCCTCTCATCTGGGCCCCTTACCCACGCAAGGGTCAAATGCCCCAAGATAGATTCAGTGGCTGGAATCCTTGCTCTTCCAGATATAGACGAGTGTTCCTTTGATCGCACCTGTGACCACGTATGTGTCAACACACCAGGAAGCTTCCAGTGTCTCTGCCATCGTGGCTACCTGCTGTATGGTGTCACTCACTGTGGGGGTAAGCCAGCAAGCTTGCGACTCCCGGCCCCTCTCACCTCACCCTGGGTGCACGTGCCATGTCTGTAGCCACTGTAATGAAATGCAAGGGATGAAGACAGTCTCTGAAGACCAGCGGGTGACAGGAACACAGGGAACAGAACCCTACCTCCAGAATTTCTCTCTCATCCCCTTCACTGTCCCCAGAACACTATACTCAGCTCTCACATGACAGTCCCACTGGTAGGTAGTTGTGGGAGGCTTTTAAAAGGAGATCAAGCTGTTGGCTCCTTCTGAACAAATTTTACAGAGTACACTAAGGTATGGCTAACTATAGGCACAATGCTGTCCAGTAGATCTCTAGAACTTACTCATCTCGCATAATTTAGGGTGCCTGGAACTAACCAAAGGTCTTTACTCACTGCCCATACCGTGGCTCCCACTGCCCCCCACCATTTGTGTCTCTGTTCCTTCCCCCAGATGTGGATGAATGCAGCATCAACCGAGGAGGTTGCCGCTTTGGCTGCATCAACACTCCTGGCAGCTACCAGTGTACCTGCCCAGCAGGCCACGGCCGGCTGCACTGGAACGGCAAGGACTGCACAGGTGGGCAGTGCCCTCTGCTGGCTGAAGCTGGCACTGCAGTCTCATGGGGTAGTTGGGGTCCTGAAAAGCTGAAAAGCCACGCTAGGGAGAGTATGAGATGGAAAGGGCTGGAAAATTTAGCCACTGGAAGTTTCTGGCAAATAATTCCCTCATCAGGCTCCACGGGTACAACAGTACCCAAGTAAGGGAGATCGGGGAGAGGAATGTGCCATCTCCTCAGGCCTCTCTTCCCTTCCTAGAGCCAGTGAAGTGTCAGGGCAGTCCTGGGGCCTCGAAAGCCATGCTCAGTTGCAACCGGTCCGGCAAGAAGGACACCTGTGCCCTGACCTGCCCCTCCCGGGCCCGATTTTTGCCAGGTACATGGGAAGAGGGTGTTGGGGGGCTTGGCGGGTGAAGGGAGGAAAGGCTGGCAATTTGGGCAGCTCCTCCGCTCCCCCTGGATTCCACCTCCGGGGGTGGTGTTGGGAGGACAGGTCAGGGTGGTAACAGGCCCTCTCTCTCAGAGTCTGAGAATGGCTTCACAGTGAGCTGCGGCACTCCCAGCCCCAAGGCTGCTCCAGCCCGAGCCAGCCAACATGGGAACAGCACAAACTCTAACCAATGCCATGGTGAGCACCAGTCCAGAAGTTTTGTTACCACCCTATTCTCTTGAATTAGCCCCTTAGTGCTCTTCTTCATCCATCCCTGTTTGCTCTGTAATCCCCCTGCCCCGCTGCCTTGCTCCCTCTGAGCCCCTTGACTTTCATGATCTCACTCTCCCAGCCAAGCTTCTGACTCACTGCCCAGCTTCTCAGCACCCTCCCCTGCAGCCCGCACCCTCACGGGACCCCCAGCCTGTGCTGAGCTTCTACCATCCCTCTAGAGACTGCAGTGCTGTCAGTGAAACAGCGGGCCTCCTTCAAGATCAAGGACGCCAAATGCCGTTTGCACCTGCGCAACAAAGGCAAAATGGAGGAGGCTGGCAGAATTCCAGGGCCAGGTCTGGACTGGGGACCCCACTCTGATGGGCCAGTGGGCCACCAAACCCTCCCGGGCCCTTGACTCCACTGCTGCGGGAGCTCTCTTCCCAAAACCCACCAGCACCCAGCACTCTGGAGACAGCAAGGTCAAAGCAGGCGTAGGCGGAGGGCCCGAGAGAGTCCCACATTCCCCTCTCCCAGCTCCTCAGTATCTTAGACTCAAAGGGCACCGAGAGTGCAGTCAGGGATCCAGCACGGTTCGTCTGGGTTAGGGAGGGAAGTGAGAGCTGGGGTGGGCACTTGCCCTGTCCCCAGAGGTGCCCCCCGGGGTTGACAAGGCCTCTCCTCCAGGTGGTGCCCCCTGCTCTGACTGCCAGGTTACCTTCATCCACCTCAAGTGTGACTCCTCTCGGAAGGGCAAGGGCCGGAGAGCCCGGACCCCTCCAGGCAAGGAGGTCACCCGGCTCACCCTGGAACTGGAGGCAGAGGTCAGAGCCGAAGAAATCACAGGTGGGACTGGGGTACTGTTGGGAGGAGGGCCAGAAGGGGACGAGAGAGCTGGGGAAACCACAAGTCTCAGCAGCGAAAGGAAGGGACAAAGCCTGTCCTCGGGCAGATCCTGCCTGACGCCTCTCCCAACAGCTGGTCCCTCTCACCATGCCCTGCCCGCCCCCTGCCCTCTGCTCACACTGCTTTCTCTCCTTCCCTGACTCACACTGCCATCCACCACCAGCGGGCTGTGGGCTGCCCTGCCTCCGGCAGCGGATGGAACGTCGACTGAAAGGGTCCTTGAAGATGCTCAGAAAGTCCATCAACCAGGATCGCTTCCTGCTACGCCTGGCAGGCCTTGACTATGAGCTGGCCCACAAGCCAGGCCCAGCACCCGGGGAACGAGCAGAGTTGGTGGAGGCCTGTAGGCCTGGGCAGCACCGTTCTGGGGCCAAGTGTGGTAAGGGAGCTTGATGGGGGCAGGGGAGTGGGGAAGGCCCAGCTCGGGCCTGGCTCAGAGCAGGACCCCTTAGGGCCTCAGCTGCATCTCTCAAACTGTGAGGCAGCCAAGACCCTCTGACCCACCACCCTCCCTTCCCAGGGTGAACTCTATAGAGAGGTACCAAGCAGGGCCTGCAACTCTCTTGCAGTTTTGAACCCCACCCCCACCCTCACCCCCACCACTTCCCAAGCAGGATTCTGTTTGTTCTCTGACAGAGATTCTCCCCAAATCTGAGGGAGCGGGAAGGGGAGTCCCTGGCCTGGGTGGTGGGAAAAAGGGGGGTGGGTGGCTAGCACGGCCGACTCTCCCTCAGTCAGCTGCCCGCAGGGAACGTATTACCACGGCCAGACGGAGCAGTGTGTGCCATGCCCAGCGGGCACCTTCCAGGAGAGAGAAGGGCAACTCTCCTGCGACCTTTGCCCTGGAAGTGATGCCCACGGGCCTCTTGGAGCCACCAACATCACTACGTGTGCAGGTGCCAGGGGAACAAACAATACAGAGTGGGGAAGGGTGGGATTTCCCAAAGGGCGGACCCAGGCTCTAGGCCACTCTCCTAGTTAACATTCTGTCCGTATGCCTCTGTCCCCTGAAACCGGGTGACCCCATGGGGGTGACTCAGGACCATCCCCATCAGAGTGGGACCCTTGGTTCATTCCAGGTCAGTGCCCACCTGGCCAACACTCCACAGATGGGTTCAAACCCTGCCAGCCATGTCCACGTGGCACCTACCAACCTGAAGCAGGACGGACCCTGTGCTTCCCATGTGGCGGGGGCCTGACCACCAAGCATGAGGGGGCCATCTCCTTCCAGGACTGTGACACCAAAGGTGAGGGGGCTGCGCCACTGGGGACTCTTCAATCCCAGGTTCTCCCCAAAAGACCTCCTCAGGTTCCCAGAACAGACCTGGACAGGTTGTCCCACCATTCTCCCCAAACCGAGAAAGGCCCAGCTGCCTGACTGACCACGCCATCCTCTTCCAGGACCTGTCCTGGCCCTCTGCTAGTCCCAGGCCTGAGAATCAAGAGTAACAGTCTGCGTTGCAGATCCGTTAACTCTGCTTTGGCGAACTGGAGACACAGTCCCCCTCCATTTCCCACATGAGTTTCTGTACAGGTTTGGCACAGTGCTCAGTGCCTGAAAGAAAAGGACTGGCACTGTAGCCAACCAGTCTGTGAGGTTGGTTTTTCCCTGGACTTTGAAGTTCTGACATGACGGGAAAAGGGGGGGACCCTGAAAGAAACTTTGGAGTCTTCCACCTGCGGATTCTCTGTGAAGAACTGCCCCTGCCGCACCCTGACGCCTGCCTCTCCCCCTTGCCTGCAGTCCAGTGCTCCCCAGGGCACTACTACAACACCAGCATCCACCGCTGTATCCGCTGTGCCATGGGCTCCTATCAGCCGGACTTCCGTCAGAACTTCTGCACTCGCTGTCCAGGAAATACAAGCACTGACTTTGATGGCTCTACCAGTGTGGCCCAGTGCAAGAGTATGTGCAGGCTAGGCTGTGGGAAGCAGGATAGAGAGGCCGGCGGTGGGGAGTGGGGTAGGGGTGGCGGCAGGCAACGGGCAGGAAAGAAAGAAGAGCAGAGAAGAGGGTGGGTGAGCAGGGAAGTTCCATCCTCCACCTCTCCGCAGCCCAGGCAGTACTGAGGCCAGTTGCTAGGCTGGGTACTAAAGCACCCTCTCCCTGGGGACAGCTAATGAGGCGGCAGGGGGAAGTGAGAAGAGCTGGTAGGGAGTAAGAAGGAAGGAGCGCCCAGACCGGGGGCGGGACGAACTCCAGGGAGGCTGCCCGTGGGTCTGACCTCCACCTCAGAACCCTTCAGCCTCCCCACTGAGTTCCCTTCTCGCTCTTGTTCCACCTGCCCGGCTTGCTGCAGATCGCCAGTGTGGTGGGGAGCTAGGTGAGTTCACTGGCTATATCGAGTCCCCAAACTACCCGGGCAACTACCCAGCCGGCGTGGAGTGCATCTGGAACATCAACCCCCCACCCAAGCGCAAGATCCTTATCGTGGTACCTGAGATCTTCCTGCCATCTGAGGACGAGTGTGGGGACGTCCTCGTCATGAGAAAGAACTGTGGGTGGCTGCAGAGCTGGGTCAGGGAAGGGAAGTCCAAAACTGGCTGGGAGGGACAGAGACAGGCACGGGGAGAATTGGGACGGTGAAGTCAGCGACCTGTGAGACAGGCCCAGAAAGAGAGAAGCTGACAAAGGAGAAGATCAGTGAGTGGTTCCTGTTCAGTAGACAGCAGTTAAGAGAGCTAGCACTCTAACGATGTTAGGCGTGCCACGTTCCTATCCTAGCATTTTTTGCCACTCCATTCATCTAAATGTCGAATGTCACATGTGGTGGGAGAAAGAGGAGCTGTGGCAGGAGCCCAGGGCAAGTGGGGGAGGGGGGGGCATGTGTGGTGTGTGGATGGGTGTGCGTGTGTCTGTCCGGGCTAGCCTAGCTCAGGGATCCCTTCCCCGCCCCTGTTCCACAGTCCTCACTCGATCCAGGAGGGCGCGGGTAGCCTCCCCTGCTGCTCCACTGACCTGCTGCTTGCTTTGCCAGCCTCCCCATCCTCCATTACCACTTACGAGACTTGCCAGACCTACGAACGCCCCATCGCCTTCACGGCCCGATCCAGGAAGCTCTGGATCAACTTCAAGACCAGCGAGGCCAACAGCGCCCGTGGCTTTCAGATCCCCTATGTTACCTACGATGGTGAGCAAGGGCAGCAGAGCCAGGGAGGCGGGTGAGAAAGGGCAGGCTCATGCATCTTGGGAGGGAGCCCAGGAAGCAGGAGGAGCTCCCCCTCCCAGCACCAGCCCCTCACCCCTCTGCCATCCCCACTGGGTTGTCTCTGCAGAAGACTACGAGCAGCTAGTAGAAGACATTGTGCGAGATGGCCGGCTCTATGCCTCTGAAAACCACCAGGAAATTTTAAAGGCAAGTGAATATTGACAACAACATGTAATGACGGGCAGGAGCATGCAGAGTGCTATTGTGAACCTTCTCATTTGATACATAGACTTGATCCGTGAGGGAGATGCTTTCATTGTTCCCACTTTACAGATGAGAATACTGAGGCACAAAGAGTTAAATATTTTGTCCAGTGGTAAGGCTGGGCTCTGAGCCCAACCCATCTATCTGACTGCAGCATCATCTACACTATAGTATACCTTTGGGAAAACATGGACAAGACAGGGAAGCTGAGAAGAAATGTCCCTTACCTCTTCTACTAAGAGATACAGGGATCACGAAGTACAGACAGATGCTTTTGCCTAAATCCCTTCCTTCCCTTCTGCCCTCCCCAGCAGCCCCTTCCCCAGAGAATCAGATGTAGCAACTCGTGTGTAGACTTCTTTAGGTAAAAGAAGTATTTCTAACATTAAAGAATGGACTGGATACTGTGGGACTAGGGATCCAAATTCTACTACTCCTAGTCCTAAACACAGAATTGTCCTTCATAAATAACCACTGCAAAAAAGTCCTATCTCTATTAGCAAGTTTTATATTATCATCAAAACAAAAGCCATGATGAAAACAACTTCCTAGAACTTGAAGACATCAAAGAATATAATTTCAGCAATACTTTTCAAATATTTTTAAGCACCTAAATGAGCCTTTACTTCAAGTCAAATGTGCCATGGGACTTTAATGCATAGGGTAGTACAGCTGTTCTGATTAAAGTGTGGTGATGGGCTGGAAGCCCCAGCTCTCATTCTAGAAATCCACCAATGCAGGATGAAGACTACCAGCCCGGGAGCCAGGAGGTCTGAGTTCTAAGGCACAGTACTGGCACGTGGCAGGCTCCCCACACTTCATGGTGCTACTGTAGACAGGGTAGTCAGAAAGGCCTCAGAGAAGAGACCTGAATGAGGTAAAAGGGTTGCCCATTGGAGGATCAGAGGAGGTATACTGCATGGGAGAATCTGACGTGTTCCAGAACCTCAAGGAGGCCAGTGTGGCTCAGTAGCATGAGGAAGTCAGGGGTCAGGGGAGAGGGGAGAAAGAACAGAGATCACACTAAGCCAATGGGCCAGACAAGGGATCACTTCGCTCCGAGTGGAAAAGAAACCAGAGAAGTGTCTCAAATAGAAAAAAGATGCACTAATTAAAAATCCACAAAATCCCGCACAGTGTATGAGAGGACACAGGGAGAACAGTTAGGAGGCTACTCTGGTGGCCGAAGGGACAGATGATAGTGGCCTGGAGCAAGGTGGAAGCTGTGCAGACGGTGAGAAGTGGTCAGACCCTGGATATATTTTGAAGGTATAGTCAGTCAGCAGGATGTGCGCTAGTTCCAAGAGGGGCCAAGGATGGCTCCTTGGGTTGAGGACTGAGCAACAGGAGTGGAGCTGCCATGGAGCCAGCTGTGGAGTTCTGGAGGAGCAGATGATGGGGATGAGAATGCAGGGTTCACTCCAGATGTGCTCAGAGAGAGATGTCCATTAGACATCAAGAGGGGCTGCCGAGTAAAAGCCGTGTGCCTCTGTCCCACTGCTGATGCCAAGGCTGACATTGCTGCCTGCCATCCTCTGCAGGACAAGAAGCTCATCAAGGCCTTCTTTGAGGTGCTGGCCCACCCCCAGAACTACTTCAAGTACACAGAGAAACACAAGGAGATGCTGCCAAAATCTTTCATCAAGCTGCTCCGCTCCAAAGTTTCCAGCTTCCTGAGGCCTTACAAATAGTGCCCCGAAATCCAGAGATCCAGGTTTTGAAGCCCCCAGACTCCTCAGCCCTGAGCTGACAGCCCCCACCCCCAGACAAGGAACCCTCCCCTCTCTCTTTGGAGAAAAAAACATATCACTACACAGACCAGGCACTCTCCTTCTCTTCGTTTCCTTTCTTCACTGTTCTCGTTTGTCCTATGTGCTCCCTGAAAAGGCTATTCAGTGCTGGCTTTATCCCCCAGTAGGGGTGAAGGAACAGTACAGCTCATATCCCTGGGCCCAGCAGCTTCGAAGGAAGTGAGCCTAGTTGAGTACGGGGAAGGCAAAGAGGGGCTTCTGCCATTACAGGGTTGTGCCTTGCTAGTTGGGAGCCCAACTGTCCCCTGACTGTGCTCCCTAGGGTTACTCTAGCAGCCCAGGGTCCTGCCAAAGAAACCTTCGGCTTCCAAGCTTAATGCCACCAGCACTCCTCTGGGGCACATGGCTTGTGTCCTAGATCACCTACGTGGCTGGCTTTCTTATCTATACAGTCCTTTCCTTCTTCCCTCCATGTCTTTGCCCAAGGTCCACTCCATAAGGATTTACAAGTGGCCCACGTCACTGGGCTAGTGGACACAAGCCAAATGAGGAAAGCGACAGGAATTACCATGCTGAATGTGCCACGGTGGCTCCCTGAGAGAGACTATGGCTCTGCAGGACAGATACCAGGTTCTCAAGTATCACTAAAAAAAACCGAAACAGAAAGAAAACATATTATCTAAAGGACGAGACTAGAGAACAACTGGAAGCCAGCCTCAAACACTAATGCCTTTTCTTACTTGTCTTCCCTGGCCCAGCTATCCCCTCAGCCCCACACAAGTGCTCCCTGGGGGAGCCCTTCTCCCCTTGCTGAATGTCCCTAAAGAAGCGTGGCTGTTGACCTGAAGCCAGCTGGGCTTCACCCAACAGTTGTCTTTCCCTTTGTAGCCCCAGGTGGCTTGAGGGCTCCACCAAAGAGGACCCCCGCTCTGCAGCCAGCCTGGAGCCACCTACCTCTGGCCTCAGGCTGTGGGCAACAAGAGGAGTACGTGTGCACCCGACAAGCCTCCTGCCCACCCTGTCCACATCTAATAAGTGCAATCATTTTGAGTCTATGTTGTCTAGAGGGAGGAGTTTTTGTCTTCTGGTATTGTTTTGTTTTGTTTTTTGTTTCTTTTTCTTCAATTAGAACAACCCTATTTATAGCTGCCCAGGAGTGAAGACTGTATGTTTGGAGTGGAAGAATATCAATTTTGAATCTCACGAACCTTGAGTGCTGGAGCATCTGTCTGTCTCTATTCCAGTAGCGGCCACCCAGACCTCCAGGGCCCTCAGCCGGGGGAACCCCAGGGCTGTAACTCAGAGGTATCTGATGTGTAGGATGGGAATTCTGGCAACCTGATGGAGCATTAGGAGAGGTGCATGCGTTTGTTAAGCGTATGCTGCCATCACTATGCCTCTCCATGGACTCAGCACGGACCTTCTGATTACTGAGGCCAATGGAATGGGTCAGTGATTCTCTACCCCAAATAGGGAACACCTGCACCTCTTCCCTGTCTTCATCCTATTTTCTGCTGGTGTGCACATGGAAGAGGACCAGGACAAACCACCTGGGGATGGGCTGACTCCATCCTGAGGCCAGAGACAAGGCTTGGGAGCCAAGAATACGACACAAAGTTGGCAAGGGCACCAGATATTTGCCTGACCCTGGCCGCTTCCCTCTCAAAGTTCACTTCAAGCCTAGCTTTCTCGACTACTGTTTTGCAAAAGAAGAATCGAGTGCATGATGAGGCCCAGATCTTAGACACACTCTGCCCTCATTCCAGCTGCCTGTAAGATTATTTTCTATTTGCTCTTTCTAGTTTCCCCAAAGCTATAGTCCTAATCTGAGGTTACCAACAGACCCTTCAGGTCCATTTCTAGGTGACTGTCCCAAGCTATTGTTCTCCTAGGAAACTTAACTAGAGGAGCCTGATGCCCACCTTTCACTCATGGGCCAAAACTGCTTTAGCAGTGAATAGCACTGACACCGCTAGATCCCCTGACACCTGTTAGCCAATACTGCAGCTCTTGGTGGAGTGTCTGGCTGTCTTTGTCTCCCTGGGTCAGAGGGCCACTGTAAAGGTGCAAAATGACTTTTCCAAGCAGGGGAAATAGAAAGTGCCATAAAGATTGTTTTAGTTGCCTTCGACCATCCTAGAATTACCTTCTGATTCCTTTTCCCCTGCCACTTTGTCTCTTAGAAAGACAAAATTGCTCTCCATGTATGCCTTCAGGGTCTGATGGCTCCCTTCCTTTCCTGTCATGTCATACATATACATACATATACTTCCTCCAGCCGTTTATTCCGTGGTTTAAGGGACACAAACAAGTTGCACAGTCTGGAAAGTGTAGACCACTAGGCTTCTTGGTGAGCAGGTCAAGACCTGCTATTGTCCACCAAGTTTAATTTAGATTTTCCGAGTTAGGGGTTAAGAACCCAGGCAAAGCTACTGCTGAACCTATGGAGGGGGCTGGGCCTGGGGCATCCAACTAGGGGTTAAGTGGACTGAATGAGGAGTCGACACTCAGGGACTCTCTAGGCCTTTACAGGTCAGACAGAAAAGAGGTTTTTTACCAATGGAGGGAAACAGGAAGATGGTGTAAATAACAAACATTCATGAACCAACCCAGAGGCCTCTCGCAGGGTGGGGTGCTTGCAGGGCCATGTATTATGAGTTATTCATCTTAATAGAAAACCTGCTCGGATCTGCATCGGGGAATGGGAAGGTGTTCTCATGAAGCACAAAATGATTGCATACCAGAAAGGCACTTAGCTCCTCAGCAACACGGCAACTCCTCTTTACTTCTCCGCGCCCCTTTTCCCATATTATCAGGCTAGGCCCATTCCCGACTTATGACTTAAGAGAACTCAGTCAGGAGAAAACTGATCCGAGCCTGGACATAAGCTGCCCATCCCAAGCATAGAAATCCCCAAATGCTCGACCTTGAGCTGTGACTGCTCTGACATCCCTGGAGTTTGGTCAGTTTGAGATGGTGGAGACCCAGATTTATGGCTGTAAGTTCAGTAGTACAGGCCTCATCTTTGGCCCTAATGAAACGTTGTGTGCCTGAGAAGTGTTCTCCATTTGCATATTCAAGGTGATTCTGGAATGGATTAGGAGGTCCCATCTCAAAATGTTAAAGAGCATTCAAATTTTTATATTTGCTACCTAACCTCAATACAACAGCTTCTAAATGGAGAACAGCAGCAAAGTATAACTGACCATAAGCAGAAAATGTTTCCTTGCCTGGCTTCTTTCTTAAGCACCGTAAAAGAAAAATGAAGCAAACAACAAAAGTATATCTTTAAATGTGACCTGTCTCAAAGGTAGCATACCCTGTCCTTGGGCCACTATTTGGACTAGGAATTCTTTAAGAAAATATATGATTAGAGGGAATAGAAGCCCCAGTTGTTATAAGCTTATCTAAACAACACAGATTGTAGCAGTTTGGACAAACTGAAAACTTTATTCTTCTGTGTGAGTTCAACCGAAGTTTCAGAGAATCATCATCATCATGTGGGAGGCTTTTTTTTTTAAAGCAGAAGAAAATTAAAAATATTGTATTTATATCAGCCTTCCACTGCTGCCAATATAGTAAACACCTCCTACACAATCAACAATAAACATCAAATGATGCAGTTCATAGAGTATTTTGCACTTGGGGAAAAGTATGTATCTGAACTTGTAAAAAGAAATGTTTGGGTTTTGTATTGTCTTTTTTATTATTATTATTAAAATACGAAATGAAACTTCTCAGCCTGGTGTCTCTTCCTTTATCTCAGTAGCTTAACTTAGAGCCAGAAAAACCCTTGAGGAGACACAGGATCTGTTGGTTTCACCTAAATTTTTTGGCAATCCATCTTATTCCTAATGATTTAAGGATTTTAAAAGGCTTGTTTCTATCTTTAAAAGCAGTATCAAGAATTATTGGGGAGCCGGTGCGGTGGCATAGCAGGTAAAGCCGCCACCTGCAGTGCTACCATCCCATATGGGTGCTGGTTCGAGGTCCAGCTGCTCCACTTCCAGCTCTCTGCTATGGCCTAGGAGAGCACCGCAGGCGGAGGATTAACCAAGTGAGCCACGTTTTCATCCTACACATGAAGTTATTTGTTAGCTGCTCAACCCAAAAGTTTAGTACCTAACAAAAATTACTGGAGTTCTTTTTGAATTCTAGATATAATTCTGATTTAATTGTTCCCAAAAGTCAAAGATCAGAGTTTGATGCAAGTAGGCACACATAATATGGCTCAAAGCATTACATGACAAGACACAGGGAATGTGCATGTCTACCGATATCTGTGTCTGTGGTCTCTCCGTTTATAAAGCAACCAGGATTCAGTCATGGGGATCCTACCCTAATGACCCAATTTAATCCAATCACTTTCTAAAAGGTTCACTTCTAAGCACCATAGTGGATGACATTTCCACCCTTTCAGTATCATTAACCTAAGAGTAAGGATTAAATTCCTACATGACTCTGGGAGCAAAATCAGGTTCAAGCCATAGCAAGGAATATCATCCTAACAAATCTCTTCCTTTCCTAATTATGTGAACAATATTTTTCAATGCATAGGCCTTAAAAATAAAAAGCAAGTACAGAATTGAGATTGGTACCTTATCCTCTACACTTAGGTAAATTCATGCATGAATACCCAAACTAATTGACAAGAAACACTGTATTTCTCATCAAGAGATGCATTTTTCAATAAAACTGTGCTTTTTAGGTTTCACAAGCTAAAAAAATGTTTAGCTTGCTAAACAAAATACTAGTGAATGGATTAAGGAGTTAGAAAACAAAGGGAACCATACAAAATTTCCATTAAAGAAGAACTTGTTCATATATCATTTATTTATTTTTTTATTTATTTATTTTTGACAGGCAGAGTGGACAGAGAGAGAGAGAAAGGTCTTCCTTTACCGTTGGTTCACCCTCCAACCAATGGCTGCTGCAGCCGGTACACTGTGGCTGGTGCACCGCGCTGATCTGAAGCCATGAGCCAGGTGCTTTCTCCTGGTCTCCCACGCGGGTGCAGGGCCCAAGCACTTGGGCCATCCTCCACTGCCTTCCCGGGCCACAGCAGAGAGCTGGACGGAAAGAGGGGCAACTGGGACAGAATCTGGCACCTCAACCAGGACTAGAACCTGGGGTGCCGGCGCCACAGGCGGAGGATTAGCCTATTGAGCTGCGGCACCAGCCCATATATCTTTTAATGGATGATGGTGGGCATCAAATTTTTAGGACAGGTGGAGTCTACTGGATGCAATTAAGAATGAACGGTTTTAATTTAAAATGCCAAAACTTACAATTAGTCAGAAATTATATCCTCTATATGTACTTAAATTGGTGATAGAAAATCTAGGTATCAGGCTGGTGCTGTGGTACAGTGGGTTAACACCCTGGCCTGGAGCACTGGCATCCCATATGGGCGCCGGTTCAAGACCCAGCTGTTCCACTTCCAATCCAGCTCTCTGCTATGGCCTGGGAAAGCAGTAGAAAATGGCCCAAGTCCTTGGGCCCCTGCACCCGCATGGGAGACCCAGAAGAAGCTCCTGGCTTCAGATTGGTGCAGCTCCGGCCATTGGAGCCAATTGGGGAGTGAATCAGCGGATGGAAGACCTCTCTCTCTCTCTGTCTCTCTCTCTCTCTCTCCTCTCTCTGTGTAACTCTTTCAAATAAATAAATAAATCTTAAAAAAAAAAAAAAGAAAATTTAGGTATCACCTTAAAAATGAACAAGGGATGCATATGGCATCCATTTTTTTAAAATGTCTGAAGAGCACTAACCTACATAGAAATGTGTTATGTGTAGACAGAAAAAAGCTCCTAGAAATGATCTTCCGTATGCCACTTCAAAAAAGTCTTCCTTACCAGCTCGCCTGAGGACCTAAAATTATCCACCATTAGAATAATTACTTTAGGGGCAGCAGCTAAGATGTCTATGTTAAAGATAATTACTTTAGCCCAGCAGCTAAGATGTCTATGTTCCACACTGGAATATCTGGGTTCCATTCCTGGCTCCAGCTCCTGTTTCCAGCAGTGATGGCCCAACTGAGTTCCTGCCACCCACATGGGAAACTTGGATTATGTTCTTGGCTCTTGGCTCCAGTCTTGCCATTGTGGGTACTTAAGGGATGAACCTGCTGCTTTCCCAGGTGCATTAGCAGGGAGCTGGATCAGAAGTGGAGCAGCCAGGTCTTGAACCAGCGCTGATATGGGATACCAGTGTCACAGAGGGAGGCTTAACCTGCTATGCCACAACACTGGCCCCAATAAATAAATAATTAAAAAAAAAAAAAGAGGGGCCAGCGCTGTGGTACAGCGGGTTAAAGCCCCAGCCTGCAACACCAGCATCTCTTTGGATCCCTGCACCCACGTGGCAGACCCAGAAGAAACTCCTGGCTCCAGATCAGCTCAGCTCCAGCCACTGGGGAGTGAACCAGCAGACAGAAGACCTCTTTCTGTCTCTACCTTTCTCTGTGATTCTTTCAAATAAATAAGTAAATCTTTTAAAAAAGAAAGAAAAAGGAGTGAACCGGTAGATAGAAACTCTCTCAAATAAGTAAATTTTTTAAAAAAGAATTACTTTAGATAGACAACAGTTTTCCAGAACTTTTACTGAATGTGTAACATAAAAAAATCATAAGCCAACAGATTAGGATTTGCAGGGAATGTAAGAACATACTTTTTTTACTCTGGAAAAAGATGTATTGGAGGGGACCAACTCAAGTACATCCATGGTTCTGTTCCCTAATACACAGTCACATTTCCCTTGACAACAGGGACGCATTCTGAGAAACGCATCTTAAGCGATTCTGTGATTGTGCAAACATCAGCGCGTGTATTTACACTAACGCAGCTCCCTAGGCAGCACAGCCCCTGGGCCCACTGTCGTGTACACAGCCTGCTGTGAACCAGAATGCCATGGTGTGTGTGACTATCTCCTGCTTTAAGACAAGCTACTTGGCCGGCGCCGCGGCTCGCTAGGCTAATCCTCCGCCTGCGGTGCCGGCACCCCGGGTTCTAGTCCCAGTCGGGGCACTGGATTCTGTCCCAGTTGCTCCTCTTCCAGTCCAGCTCTCTGCTGTGGCCCGGGAAGGCAGTGGAGGATGGCCCAAGTGCTTGGGCCCTGCACCTGCATGGGAGACCAGGAGGAGGCACCTGGCTCCTTGCTTTGGATTGGCGCAGCATGCCGGCCATAACAGCCATTTGGGGGGTGAACCAACGGAAAAGGAAAACCTTTCTCTCTGTCTCTAACTTCCTGTCAAAAAAAAAAAAGACAAGCTATTTATTCTCTCTGTACCTGAAAATAACTTGTCAAATCTCTAGAAAAGAACAGGAGAGCCAGAGCACCACTGTGGCCTGGCTATTTATTTTTCACCAAGAGATATATAAAGGATAATCAACCACGAGAATGGGCCACCAAGTATCACTGCACATCTACACCGCGAGCCTGACAACTCTGCTCCCAGTCCTCGCCCTGGAACTGCTGGGAAGAGGGGATGTCTAAGAGGGAAAGGCAGGGCTTCCTGTTCAAACTCTTCAGACGGGTGGGAGGAAAAGACCGCCTGTGTCCCCAAAGTCACCATCAGCTAGCACAGGCCTCAATCCAGTACTTACCACACGTTTGCAGTTTACCTCCTTTTAAAAAAATGAGATTTGTTGTGGCCAGCGCTGTGGTGCAGCAGGTTAAAGCCCTGGCCTGAAGCGCCGGCATCCCATATGGGCACCGGTTCAAGACCCGGCTGCTCCACTTCCGATCCAGCTCTCTGCTATGGCCTGGGAAAGCAGTAGAAAATGGCCCAAGTGCTTGGGCCCCTGCACCAGCGTGAGAGACCCGCAAGAAGCTCCTGGCTCCTGGCTTTGGATCGGTGCAGCTCTGGCCATTGTGGCCAATTGGGGAGTGAACCAGCAGATGGAGGACCTCTCTCTCTCTCTCTTTCCTCTCTCTGTGTAACTCTGACTTTCAAATAAACAAATAAATCTTTTAAAAAATGAGATTTGCTAAGTCAAATTGCAGAGAGGGAGAGTGGAGAATGCGAAAGAAGAATCCGAGTGAAAGGACACAGAGAGAAAGGTTTCTCACCTCACTCCTCCAGGCACCCCGTTCCGCCAAGAGGCCGTCTTTACCGTTCCTTATCCAACTCCTCTCCTTTTTTATTTATTAAAAAAAATTTTTTTAACTAAAAGAGCATTCCGTTTTAACTTTCTCTCGGCTTTCTTAGAAAGTCACCAGTCGCAGCCCCTCCCTCCTGGGAGGAGGCCACCCCGGGAGAGGGCCTGGACTGTTCACCCCCGCCCCGCAAGCCCTCACTGGGCAGTAACTGCATCGCAGGCCGGAGCGGGCTGACACCGGAACGGGAGAGAACCCCAGAGGACCGCCGTCGGGGCGCGCTCCCCACGGAGGCGAGGAGGCCCTCGCCGCTCCTCCACGTCGTCCTTTTCAACAAGGAGCTCGGAATACCTGCAATTGCTTCCTTCAAGAGGTTGGCTCGCAGATCAGAAGGCACCGAGCACGGCGGAGCGCCGCAGTTGGCGCTGCGGGCGCCCACGGGCAGCCAGGAGGAAGCCGGGGAGCTCGGAGCCCCGCGGAGCGCCGGCAGCCCCAGCGCGAACGCGTGAACGCGGAAACCCGCGGGAACCGCTTCCCTCGCAACCGGTCCTCCCGCCGCCCCGCTCCTGAAGCGCTGACGCGCAGCGGGAGCGCTCCGGCGCCCGGGACCGCCGGACTCCCTGAGGTAGCGGCTCCGGATTGCTATAGCGACGACCGGGCTCCGAGCCGCGCCCAGGCCCTGACCCGGCGTGGTGACGTCATCACGCCCTCCCCCGGCGCCCGGCCTCGCGGGCCGTGCGTCACCCCGGCCGGGGGCGGGGCGGGCTCCGAGGGGCCCGGTTCAGAGCCCGGCCGCCGGGGCTCCAGGGGCCCCGGAACCAGGATAAGTGGACGGCCGCCGCGGCGAGGTGGGGGGGGGCGGGGTGGAGCGTGCCCTGTATTTTCTAGACGGGTTCCGGGGCCCGGTAGAGGCGCGCCGAGAGGAGAGGAAAAGTGCGGCGGCCCTGGAACCTGGATACCGCGCGAGGCAAGCTGCGCGCGGGCGGGCGGGCTATGGCGCAGGCGGGTTGCGGGGCCGGCGCTGGTGGCGGGGCCCGGTGCATGGCGGTCTGTCGGCGGAGTCGCCCTCGGGGGCTGTCAGGTTGGTGGCTGCGGGAAGAGTGGGTCCACCGTGCCCGAGGCGGGAGGCCGGGCGGGCGCAGGGCCCTGGGAAGATCCCGAGCCCGTCTTGCCCACCCTCCTCCAGCCTTAGCTGGGCCGCTGGACGGTGGCCTGGCCCCTCCCCCACCTAGGGTCCCTGCCCCTCCATTCTACCTTGCCACTCCTCCCCCATGACTCCCAAACCCCACCCCGTGGCTGGGCCAGCCTCCACCTCCTGTGACCCCCACACCCACCCACTGACCCCAGGACCTTAACTCACTCGTAGGCTGCCAGCCCAGGGGTTTGCTCAGTACTTCTCGGACCCACCAACCCAGTGACCCTCAGCTCTAAGCCAGTGATTCACACGACCACAGGATCCCCACATTCCTCTTCAGTGACCCCCAAACCTTGCCGCAAGCTCTACCCTGTGTTCGCCAGAAACTTGATGACGCCCCTGGAACTCTCCTGGCAGCTCCTAGGCCGTATTCGAGAGTTTCCCACTCATTGATCTTCGGGGTAACCCTCAGTGCCTTTGCCCTGTAACCCCGTGGTCCTCATCTCTGGGTCTCCACCGGTCCTGAAGTCATTCTCACTGGCCTCTGCACCCTCCGCTCTGCAGTGTCAGTCAGCACCTGAGTGGAAAACCCCGCAGTGCCCTTCTGATGCTGACGAGGATGTGGAGGAATATGAAGTAGCAGTCGTGGGAGGCATCAGAGACTTCGTATTGAGTGTGTAGTCCCAGGTTCAAGTCCCAGCTCTGCCACTCTTGTGCTTTGGGAATGTGGAAAAGGCCTTTACACACCCTGGGCCTCAGTGTCTCGTCAGTATTGTGATGAGCTTGGTTTAGGTGATCTCCAGAGCTTCTTTACAGCTATGAAATTCTCCAGTTCTCCATCAAGATAATGTTTCAGATAATTTTTGTACTCTACCTTAGAAGCTTCCTCTAGCAAACTTAACCCCAGAGTCCACTTCGTGAATCTTCCTCCCTTCCTCCCATGACCTCCTACACTCTTAATAGCCCATGCCCATTTCTCTGAATCAGGCCCTGTCCGTTAACATGTTTGCAAGGGGTATAGCGGAGCGGTTCAGCTTGGAGCATGGATGTGATAAGAAATCTGTGTTCCAGTCCGACTGTGGCCCTCCAGCTGCGGGACTTTGCCATAGCGTTTGGCCTGTTGAACTCTGAGTTCCCACCTCTGTGAGGATAATGATAGTGCCTAAGTTAAAACAAGCCTGGCAGCACGTGGAGAGCCTCTAAGTGGAGCTGTAACAACAGCTTATATTATTGGGAAGCTCCTGAGGTTCTTACTCTGTTCTGGGTGCTAGGAATTCAATAGACAGTGTCTTACATTCTCTTACTGCACTACTAACCTCTTGGAATCCCCATCCTATTCTTATCTTTGCTATGGCTCCCTCTCTTCTCTGCTTCTTTACCCTGAGAATGCCTTCATAATGGTTAACTTACTGAGCACCTTCTGTGTTCCAAGCTTTGGTTTACCTCTCAACAAGCCCGATAGGTAGTTAATACTATATTTACCATTTTCTTTTGTTTTTTCGGGGGCAGGATTTGCTTTTAAGTAAATGAACCTGGAATTCAACATAGCAGCACATCAGAGCTGAAATTTGAACCCACAGCCTCAAAACACCCACTTATTCCATTGCCTCTCTTGTCCTTGAGTCTACCAGATAACATCAACCTCTGCCTTATTTCTAGTGATTCTTAAAGCCAACATCAACTCATTCCAAGACCTTCAAGTTTCAACCCTTTGCCCCAGGGTTTGGTGACTTTCTCATCCTTTTGTTCATGACCTTTGACCCCCCCAGACTCCTCCTAGAAGGAGAGTGAAAATACCCTAGGTTTATGACTGAGGCCCCTACAACAAAACAGATCAACAAGAGAAAAGCAGACAGATTTATCTAATATTTTATGTGGCCCGAGAGCCAAGGAAACTGTTAAACCTGTGTGCTTATGCTAGGTTTGAAGAGTAGATGATTGTGGAGAACTCTAATAGGGCAAAAGGATATGGTCTTGGGGTCATAAACTGGGGACAGCCCACCAAGGCCTGTTCAGCTTCTCTGTGACCCCTATATCTTCAGACATAAGGCAGCCCTTTTTCCTTTGGGTATAGGAGGACACCTCTCGTACCGGTATGGCCTGCTTTAGGAGAAAGAGCTCTTTCCCAGGTGTCATGCCTTGCTTCAGGGGACAAGGTGAAGATGAAGTGACTCTCCTGCTGTTGTCATTTTCTCAAAGTGCCATATTTTGGGATAGGATGTCCTGAGCCCAACCAGCCTTAATACCTCTCTTCACCTTTTGCCTAGACAGCCAGTCCTCACCCCATGAGCCCACTCACCCTACTGTGTCTCCTGCCTCACTGACACGCCCACTGATCCTCTTGTTCTGTTAAGTCCCTTATGCCCAGGAATCCATGTGTCCATAAACTAAAACCTGTAGTCTTTCCTCATATGATCCATTCCTGGTTCCATTCTCAGTGTTCTGTCCCCTCACTCTGCCATCCTTACGTCTTGTCACCTGAAACCTTCATTTAGTGACCCCTTCTTCTAGTGACCTCCTGCTGTGCCTTGCCTTGGTGAGTGAGCCCCCTCCACCCCAACGTGAGCACATTCTTCACAACTGTACACCCTCCTGTCCTAAGGTCCTTCGGCACACTCCTGCCTGGTACCCTGTGTGGTCTGACCTCCCAGGTTCCCCATCTCATGGCATCTTCCCTCTATCTACCAGTGATCACTTTCTCAAACTGCAGTTAAAGCAGTCAAGCCTTCTCCTTCCTGCCTTCCTCTTCTGCCCCCCTAATCTTTGCTACCTCCTCAATCTTGATAAGAGATTGATCATCATGTGAATCTCCCTCCCATGCCAACTCAGCCCCTCTTAACTCCACTCTCCTGGATATCTAAGGCCATGGGCGTGTCAGCTGCCTTGCTGCCTTCAACCCTCCTTCATTCACACACACCTTGTCTACCAAATCTCATTGGCCTCTTTGGTTTGTCCAAAGAACTACACCTGGGCACTTGTGAGATAAGAATAAATCACCAAGATCTCCGTCCTTTAGGTAGCAGAAGAGAACCCCTGGAAGCCCTTTAAAGGAGATCTGGCTGTGTCTCCTGGATCCACTCCCACTATCCTATCCTGTTTCTGAAGCTGTTTGCTGTACATGCCTTCAGGGTGGAACACTTTGAAGTGTCATGGGCATTGAATTAGCTCCATTGTTTTCCCAACCCTGGGAGGGCTTTCCAGTCCCCTCCTGTGGGAAGACTGGATGGTGAATAGAAAATGTGACATTAAAAATCTACACCCAGAAGTCTTTCCTGTGGGTCACCAGATTCCCAGGTAGTACTGACTTATTGGTGATACAGCAATAAATACAGCAGAAGATGAAACTAAAGTTATGGAAGGGCCATAGCCTAAGGTCTACAGATTCTGTGGGTGGCTTTAAAAAGGAAGTTTTACCTTGGGTTTGGTCCGTCTTTTCCAGGATTTTAGTTATTTGTGTACTTTTCTCCTCCCTCCCGCCACTGCCCCCTCCCACACACCCCTGTGACTTTTTGAGAGCAGCAGCTGGGTTTTCTTTATATTTTGTCATTTTAATTATGTCCCTCATGTGGCAATCAGTAAATAAATACTTACTGGATCCAAGTAATGCAGAAATTCTGCGTCAGGTAAAAACAGTTCACACCTGTGTTCATTTTGTCGCCACAACAGGCCCTCTCCCTAAAGCCTTCTAAGTATGATAATGGGCGAGTACCTTGATTTTAGTCCGGAATTTAGATACTTCTTTCTTAGTCCTTGTTCTGGTGGGAGAAGGGTTTTAAGTGCCTTTTTAACTGTATTTTTGTTAAGACTAGAGAGTTTGGTTAGCACGCTTGCTAGAACCAAGTGGTTACAAGGTCAAGGTCTGTCTTATTTAGACCTGTTCTGAAGAAAACAGCTAGGTGAAATCTTCAATGGAGGTTGCAAAGAAGATGAGAAAACAAAGAAAATCAAATTGGCAAGACTGGTAATTGTGGAAGTTGACTAATGGGTTTGTGAGGTTCATTAAGCTATTCATTCTCCTTCTATGTTGGAAATCTAGAATAAAAAGTTGAAAATGGCTGTCACATTTTTGGCCTAAGCATATAAAAGGGTGGAATCCCACTTACTGAAATGGGGGAGAAGGGAGCAGGTTCTGAAGAAGGGAGAATTTACTTCTGAACATGACCAGTTTGAGATGTTATTTGGATTTAAAGGCTGTGATGTTGATAAGCAGTTGGGTATGCAAGCCTGTTGGACTTCAGGAGATGTCTGCTCCCTTGGGAACTAGAAAGACACTGGCAGTTCAGGTGCAGGCTCTGCTTTGCCACCGGGTAGCTGTCTGATCCCCGCACACTCTTCCGTAGGACCTGACCTCAGTCTCATCACCTGCAGAATGAGCTGTCTTCTCAGCCCCTCTCGTTGTGAGGCTTGTTGAATTAGGAACTTAAGAGCAGCTAAGATATCTATCTGAGGGCAGTTTGGAAACTGCTGAGCTCTCCATGGAGTGTTGGTGATGACTCCTTCACTAACCACCCAGCAAGTGCCGGCCATGTGCTGGGCTGTGCCGCACACACACGCATATGATGATGGAGAACGTGAATCCATGCCCTCAAGAAGCCCTAGGGAAGAGCCCTGGAGTTGCTTCTTTGCTCCGTGCAGCTGGAGTCTGACGATTTAGTGTGATGTTAGCCAGGAAGGGTTTGTTCTCGACCTGAGTGGGAGGAAGCAGTGAACAGGCCTGTCAGGCAAGGAAAGATGTATCACAGGTGGGGAAAATGGTCAGCCTAGTTGGGGAAGAGCTAGGAGAGGTGTGGTACAACTGGGAAAGCGTGGGGTGGTCAATGCCTCCACATTGACCCCATTGCTAGGAGCTTCGTCTAAGGAGCTTGTAGTTCTATAGTAAATAAGGGGTTTCAAATCTCGTCTCAGGAGTTTTCAGTGAGATCCAGTTCACCTAAAGTGGAAATGAA